ATGCCTGATTCTGGGCTGGGAGCCATGGGAGGAGCACAGGGCCTGGAGTGCAGAGAGGGGCCCTTGTGGGAGACTTGGTTCATTACCCTGCCCTTGACCTGGAAGGGGTGGGGTTTATGGGGGTGAGGTTAGTAGAGTAGGACTAGTAGGAGTGGGTTGAAGATGGGGTTAGTGGTGGGGCGGGGTTAGTGGGGCAAGTCTGGGTCAAGAAGGCAGCTCTGGGGCAGGGAGGCGGGTCTAGGTGAGGTTAGTTGAAGGGGAGTTAGTGATAGGGGCTGTATACGACTCCCAACTCCAGGCTGTGGGCTGTGATGACCCTGGCGTTCAGTGCAGACTGAATTCCCCAGTATTAGCATCCTACTTAGCTCTAGTACATTTGTCCCATGGAGATGCTCAACTGTGTGTGTCATGGTCAGCTCCACTCCAGACTCAGATTCATGGCTTTTCCATTGATGCTTCCTCCTGCTCTGGGACCCGTCTGTACAGTGTTGGGTCTTCTGAGGTTCTGCTGGCCGAGCAGTTTCTCAGAGTCCTTGTTTTATGGCCCTGACCATTTGAGAGGGCTAGTCTCGGTTCTGTGGAATGCCCTCAGTCGGGTCTATCGTGTGTTTTCTCCCGGTGAGACTGGGGCCGTGAGTATTTGGGAGGAAGACCATAGAGGGGAGGTGCCCTCTCATCATGTTGTGTCAGGGTGCAGGATGCCCACCGGTGTAGCCTCCTCTGCCATTTGGTTAAGGGCGTGTCTGGCATGTTCTCCCTATGATGTCACCTTCTCCTTTGCCTGGTCTTTGGCAGGAGTCAATGAGTCCTGCCCAGCCTGGCAGTTAAGCCCCGCCTCCTGTGGGGAGAGGCGCATTATCAGCACTGTTAGGAGTTCTATGGTAAGGAGGACTTTTTTGTTTTCTCCATTTGTTTATTTACTGTGGTGCCGTGAATTGCTTGGTATGTCCCTTCTATGGGACTATCCAGATGTGAGGTTATTATGGCTTACCAAGGGGAGTGGATAGGCTGTTAATAATGTGAATAAAGTGCATGATACCCTTGTGGGGATGCAAATAAGGTGTATGGAACCCTAATATGCGGATTGGTCAGTTTGGCATCTCACTAGGTGTAAACAGAGATATCCCAGAGGTGGAAAGAGGGGATCTCACTACCACTAAGAAAGTAGGGCTAAGGGTGGAGCACGTTTGGGTTCGACAGCTCTGCAGTGAATCTCCGCTATCCAGGAGACAAGAGAGTGAGCTCTGACACTTGGTGGGAATGGTGAGAAGCAGCAGCAGAGAAACAGCGGCAGCAGAACCAAGAGACCAACATGAGACACAGCAGCAGGCTTCCCAGCCCACAGAGCAGGAAAGCTGGGCTTGCTGGCAGAGTGGTGTGCCTCTCTGAGCAGCTATTGGCAGAGCTAAAAGACCTGCATAACACTTACCTGGGGAGCTCTGGTAGCATAGTGCCTAAGGCACTTGACTGCTAACCAGAAGGCTGGCGGTTCAAACCCACCAGCCACTCCTCGGAAGGAAGACTGGGCAATCTACTTCCATAGTGATACTGCCTCAGAAACCCAAGGAGGGGTCGCTATGAATCAGGTCTGAGTAGACAGCACATAACAACAACAACAACAGCACTTACCTGAGGAGGACAGAGGCCGAGGCCAGAGAGAGACATGCCTGTGGCACAGATGAGAAGAGGCTGTCTTAATTGAAGGACTATATCCTGAGTTGTTTCTGAACCCGAATTGTAACTTGTTATTTCCCTAATAAACCCCATAATTTTTGAGTGTTGCCTGTGAGTTCTCTGTAGCCGTTGCAATAAATTCTTGAACCCAGCAGAAAAGTAGAGTGCTGTGGAGGGATGGTTGGTATTAGAATTGGGGTTGGAGAATGGCGACATGTCTGACCTCTGCTTCATAGGTATCAGTCTTAGGCTATTGAGTGATTCTCTCCTGTGTGAAATAAGAGGAGGTCAGATACCACCCCACACCCTTTTTGCACGTACTCTCTGATTTGTGTCATTCTGGAATCATGGGCTCTACTTACACTTTGGCTCATAACCCAGCACCACATCATTACCATGTTGCTCCAGAGTTGGCTTTTGTGTCCGTTTGACAGGTTCCCTCCTTTTGTCTCTTGAGACTCCCTCACCTTACACTACCAGATGCTCCAGGTTCATCTTGCACTTCCCCTGTGCAGCCCCAGCCATTCCTCCGAGGAGCATGTGTTTGGAGAGGGCGTTGAAAACCAAGATCTGGGCACATGGGGTCTGCACTTCGTGGCTGGGGTGCTGTTGCTTCTAGGCCTTCTGTGGTGTAGTAAATGACATGATATGGCTTTTCTAGCCATAGTATTTATAATTCCCACTTTGCCGTGAGTAACTGAGTAGCTGTTTTTGAAGTCATCCACCTGGAGCAACACAAAGCAATCTGTATGGGATTCTGATGTTGGGGTTGGTGGGTTTTGGCTACTCTGCCAGGCTCAAAAGGAGCCCTCCTAGAGGCAGAAGTCTCTCTGACTGCTGGCTGAGAAAGACGCTCTGCCAAGAGAAACAGGCTGCTGAGAGAAGTGCTGCTGAGAGAAGAGGGAGAGAGACACAGGAGACATGCACTGCTGAGAGAGACTGTCCGCTGAGAGACGGCCCGCTGAGAGAGACACAGGAGACATGCACTGCTGAGAGAGACTGTCCGCTGAGAGACGGCCCGCTGAGAGAGACACAGGAGACATGCACTGCTGAGAGAGACTGTCCGCTGAGAGACGGCCCGCTGAGAGAGACACAGGAGACATGCACTGCTGAGAGAGACTGTCCGCTGAGAGACGGCCCGCTGAGAGAGACACAGGAGACATGCACTGCTGAGAGAGACTGTCCGCTGAGAGACGGCCCGCTGAGAGAGACTGACCGTATTCTCGAACTTGAATTATAGCCTGTTGCTTCCCTGATAAACCCCATAATCTGTGAGTTTTGTGTGGCCACTGCAGTGAATTACCAAACCTAGCAGAGAGGTGGTGGGTGCCATGGAAGAAATGGTTGGTGTCAGGGTTGGTAAGAGGGCTGGGGAGTGGCAGCATATCTGGCCTCATAGGAACAGGCCTTGGGCTGCTGATGGTGATTCTGTCCTCCTCTTGTGTAGTTAGAGGAGGTCAGAAGATGGGGCCTCCTTGTCCCTTTAGCACCCTCTGAGTGGGTGTTCACACATGCACACACTTATTTCTATGTCTGCTGATCTGTGTCTGTTAATAGTTTACAGCGGTGTTCTCTAAGTCCATGCTGCTGGCTCACTCTGGGTTCTTTGTTTTCTGCATGGGCATGTTCATGTCTTTAGCTTTTCTTCACCTAAATGAGCCCTGAGTCAGTTTTTGGTGGGGCTGCTGGGAGACCGAAATGAAGAAGATGTGAGGCACTTACTGATGAAGATTAAAGACTACAGCTTTCAGTATGGATTACATCTCAACATAAAGAAAACAGAAATCTTCACAATTCAACCAATAAGCAACATCATGGTAAACAGAGAAAAGATTGAAGTTGCTAAGGATTTTATTTTACTTGGATCCACAATTAACACCCATGGAAGCACCCATCAAGAAATCAAACGACATACTGCATTAGGCCAGTCTGCTGCAAAAGACCTCGTTAAAGTGTTAAAGAGCAAAGATGTCCATTTGAAGACTAAAGTGCACATAACATCCCTTTTCAATTGCCTCATAGGCATGTGAGAGGTGGATAATAAATAAGACCACAGAAGAATTGATGCATTTGAGTTGTGGTGTTGGTGAAGAATATTGAAGGTACCATGGACTCTCAGAAGAATGAACAAATCTCTCTTGGAGGAAGTATAGCCAGAATCCTCCTTAGAAGCAATAATGGCTGGAACTTTGTCTCCTGTACTTTGGTCATGTTGTCAGAAGGGAGCATTCCCCAGAGAAGGATATCATGCTTGGTAAAGTAAAAACCAAAAAAAAAAAAAACCCAAACCCACTGCATTGCTTCAGTCCCAACTTACAGTGACCCTATAGGACAAAGTAGAGTGGCCTCATAGAGTTTCCAAGGCTGGAAATCTTTACAGAAGCAGACTGTCTCCTCCTCCTCCTGTGGAGCAACTGCTGGGTTTGAACCACTGACCTTTTGGTTAGCACCTGAATGACCCTCAATGAGATGGCTTGACACAGTGGCTGTGACAGTCGGCTCGAGCGTGGCCACAGCTGTGAGAATGGTGTAGGACTGGGCATGATTTCATTCTGTTGTACACAGACAGGGTCACTGTGAGTCACAAGTGACTTGACGGCATCAGCAACAGTTTCTGCTGTGCACCATGTGTATTGCTGAGGTGGCTGAGAGCCACTGCCCATCACACTCTGCCCTTGGGGTCATGGGGACTGTACTGCTGATGGGGGCTCACTGGGTCCGGTGTTACTTGGACCAGGAGTCCACCTGGCTGTCACGGTACACTGGGAGGCATGGAGGATGGTGGGCTTGGTTCTCTGGGGGCATGTGCTGTGCTCCGCAGTTAGCTGAGGGTGCTGCTGTGTGTTCAGGGAGCTCCATGGTGGCATTTTCAGTATGAGGACTGAGGTCTGTGGATGGTTAGGAGTGTGGATGATGGGGCCTCTCCTCCCAAAGAGGATGCTGCCATGACCTGCAGGCCTCCCAGCCTGAACTAGCCAGTGCCTGCCTCTGGGCTGTGTCCTCTGGACATGATATTGGTTCCCTGCATCTTTTCTCTAAACTCTGTAACTTCACATGTTGCTGATGGATTTTGTGTGGTCAGATTATTCACACTGAGTAAGATAATGCACCAGAAACATAACATGGAAGTAGCACCTGGGTGACTACCAGTTTTGCAGTGTACAGCGAGGGCCCATTCACCTGCTGCATGTCTGGAGACAGAGGGGAAGGTTGGCACCCAGCAGCCCTGCAGACTGTGCTGTCCATTTGTCCCTGCCCTGTCCCCCCATTTTGTGCCCCCTGCTGCACCCGGTGGCCAAGGCTGACACACCTGTCCCTTCCCACAGGGTGGACGTGAATGCCGACCGCAGGATCAGTGCCAAGGAGATGCAGCGCTGGATCATGGAGAAGACGGCCGAACACTTCCAGGAGGCTGTCCGCGAGAACAAGCTGCATTTTCGTGCCGTGGACCCTGATGGCGACGGTACTGGGGGAGGAGTTCTGGGGACAGGTGTTTACTCAGCAGATGCCACTGATGACACTGTGGGGCCAGGCAGTTCTTGGCTGGAGGAATGCAGTGAACCAGCCCAACACCCTGCCTCGGGCTCCTGCATATTAGCAGGACAGGGTCTCATGGCCATGTGAGGTCAGCGTCTCACTGGAGGGAGTTGTACTCCTGTCAGATGCATGGTCCAGGTTCACAGTTTCCTCTAGGACTATGTGCTGTTGTTCCCCTAGGGCCCTGACATGCTGGCCCCTGGACCTCCCTGGGAGTTGGGCCAAATTCCACAGGAGTAGGATGTGTTCTGGCTGCCAGGCCCAACTCCAGGAGCATTGGGATCATCTCAGGGAGCTACAACACACAGTGATCAAACACATGGGACATATAGCAGGCACTGAGTGTGACCGCTCATTTGATGAGTGGGGCTGAGTGGGAAGGAGGGGCTAACTTTCTTACGGACACCTGGCTGGCAAGTGGCAGCTGTGGGTTCAGGGTCTGGGCTCCACCCTTCGCACTGCAGTCTGAGGGGGAGCTTGGAGCTGGGTGCTTACAGATGTCTGGTCTCCCAGCTGCCTGTGGCACAAAGATTTTTAACTGATGTCTTAGAAAATTAGGTCTCTCTTTTCAAAAGCTGAGCTTTAGCCTCCTAACAGGTGTGACCACTCTGTAGGCCACGTGTCATGGGACGAGTACCGGGTGAAGTTCCTGGCAAGCAAAGGCCACGATGAGCGAGAGGTTGCCGAGAGAATAAAGAACAACGAGGACCTGAAGGTGGATGAGGAGAGTGAGTCCATGCACTGGCCGCGCTCTGCAGGGCTCCTTCGGGTGTGGGCCTCACAGCCAGTACCCCCGGGCAGCATCTCCAGCTATGGAGGGCAGGCTTGAAGATGTTCCCCTGTGTGTATACGTGTGTGTACATGGCACGTATGTGTGTTCATCGGGTGTCAGAAAGGCTATGGCAAGTCCATGGTGTCACATATGCCCACTGAGTGTGTGGTAGGATAGACAGGTGGTTAGGGGCTGCTGTGATAGGGGCTCCTGGGTACAAATCATCATTTGGTGATGCAGACACTCTCCATGGAGAAGCACGTGGTATAGACGTGTGCCCTGACCCAGCTGGATGCTGGGCTGCATTTGGAGGTAGGGTAGGGCTGGCCAGGGCTCAAGGGGGGTGGTCCCCCAGCAGTTGTAGCAACCTGCAAAGGCCTTGGGTGCTGGGAGCTCTAGTGGGCAGTGGTCTGGTGGACAGTAGAGGAGGGGCTTCGTTGAGCTTGAGCTTCTAGGGAAGAGGAGGTAGAAGGTGCTGGAAGCAGCTGCATGAAGAAAGAGCTAATAGAGGTGCTGACCAAAGAGTGGATAGGTGGTGGAGAGGGCTGGAGAGGCCCAGAAACCTGGGCCCTCATAAGGGCCTGGAAAGGCCCCTTGTGCCACGTCCTGCTGCCTCCAACACCTGTGGCTCATGGGTGACCCACCTGATGGCTGCCCTCAGGGCACTTGGTCTATCCGCCAGGTGTTTGGACCCAGCAGAAGTGCTGTGGGTCCAGGCCCTGACTTTAGTGTGTCAGAGGTGTCCCTCCGGGGACCAACATGTGTGGGCTGGTGCACCCAGTCTGTCACTGCCCTGCACTAGACCTCTCCACGGGGTATGGGCTCTCTCCACGAGAGAGGTGAGACGATCCTTCTCTGCATGGCGGCGGGAGGGCTGTGATGTTCACAGAGGTTCCTTGATGTTTGTGCAGAAGGAACCTGTGGAAAGTTTATTTAGCCATTCTTGTAGTCAAATCTAGAAACTGGGTTTTCCTTTAAAACAATCTTCTCCCTGAAGTCACTTTGCACGTGAAAGGAACAAAACAAAAAAAAAAACCCCGACACTTTTTTTTCCTGTAAATAGTTGAGTCAGCCTCTACTGCATACCTCCGCTTCTCAAGAAGAATAAACAAAAAACAAACAGCATGGGTGTAGCCCCGGGGCTCTGCGTAAACCACCTCCCCTCTCTGCTCTTTGAGACTCCCCCTTCCCTTGGTCCCTACCCCCTGCTCCCTGAAGGCTTCTGCCTAAGACAGACCAGTGAGCAGCACAGGCCCGATGGCCACGGTTCTGCATGCTCCTGTTGCCAAGAACAGCCTTATGCAGGAAGGGGGACCGGAGTGAGGTCCCAACCTTTCGTGGGTAGAGGGATGGGGATTGGGGCCTGGGCAGCAGTGAGGGGACAGTGTCAAGGGCCTCTAGGCCCACAGCCAGCAGGATGGTAGGCATTGGGCAGGGGCTGGCAAGGGGTTGTGGGGGAGAGGGGAATGGACAGGGTGACCCTGACCCCAATTGAGGGGCTCTCATGGCTGGTGGTACAGGGAGTCACCCCCTGTTGGGCTTGGGCACCCAGGGGCAGGTACATGGGAAGGGGGGTAGTGAGCTGCAGTGGCTGGCCTGGAGATTGGATGATGGGGCTGGCAGCCTGGGGTCTGATATGAGGGACAGGGGCTTCCTTAGGGGTGATCCTCCATCGGGGGCCTCATTGAACGATTTGACTTTGAAAAGGCGCTTGTCTATAACGTTCACTTAAAAGTGAAGCCCATGAGACTGATGACATTCCCGATACAAAATGTGACATGAAGAAAAAAAAGCCAGGTGGGGGCTAAGAGTGACCTATGGTGGTCAGCAGGGCCCTGGATGGGTGCCTGGGTAGAGATGGGGACTATATAGGGAGAGGGTTACCCTGGGCGTGTGGTGACCTACATGTAGTCACCACACCTGCGGTTTCCACCCTGCTTGTGTTCACCCCATGTGTATCTACCCATGCTTGGTCACCCCATGAATAACCCCAGGCCTATGGTTATCCCATGAGCATTCATCCCGGCTGTATTCACCCCAGGACTGGGGTCACTCTGTATCACCCCATGCAGTCACCCTGCCTGATGCATGATTACAGGCACAGGAGCTCTTTGGTTTTAGCAGGAAACCTGTGGCAGCCCTTCCCACTGGGGTCTGGGGAGAACAGCCCTCTGGAAAATTACCCTGATGGTGAAGGGCTCTGAGCCCAAGAAAGCCCAGACTCCGAACTCCTTAGGGCCTGCTCACATCAGCTGCTGTGTCCAGCCTGGCAGCGTCCGGTGTGGTGTGCTGAGGTCCTCACAGTCGGCACCTCTCAGCACAGGAAGTCCTGGAGAACCTGAAGGATCGCTGGTACCAGGCGGACAACCCCCCCTCGGATCTGCTGTTGACTGAGGACGAGTTCCTGTCCTTCCTCCACCCAGAGCACAGCCGTGGCATGCTGCAGTTCATGGTCAAGGAGATTGTGCGCGACCTGGGTGAGGCCGGGTCGGTGGAGGCTAGGTGGGGCCTGTTGCAGGCCTCCACGGTTGGGGCTTTGCCGTCTGCATGGTGCTGGTCCTCCTCCCCAGGCAGGTGTGGGGTCCAAGGTGGCCAAGCAGCTTTGCTCACGCTACACTATGACGTGACGAGCAGAGTCTGTCTAGCTGTCCCCCACATGCCCTGTAGCCCCCCACCTACCCCATGGCTCCCCTGTGTGCCCTGGGCTCACATGCTCTTGCCCTACAGACCAGGATGGTGACAAGCAGCTCTCGCTGCCCGAGTTCATCTCCCTGCCTGTGGGCACTGTGGAGAACCAGCAGGCCCAAGACATTGATGACAACTGGGTCAAAGACAGGAAGCGAGAGTTTGAGGAGCTGATAGATGCCAACCACGATGGGATTGTGACCCCAGAGGAGCTGGAGGTGGGGACGCTGCCTGGGAAGGCCATGTTTGGGGTTGGGAAGACAGAAGCACTATCATGGTTGTGGGTATCCCTTATAGACTGTGTTTTTGGAACCCACTGCTGCCTGGGGTGCTGCCCTGGGCGGATCCCCAAGAGGCCCAGTGTAGGGCTGGGCACTCAGGCAGCCCCCAGCTCTCGAAGGAGGGTCTCCATCCTGCAGATACAGGAGGAGCAGCCTATTAGAGAGGCAGGGTGGCTTGCTGGGGAGGAGCCAAGTGCTGGAGGGCCAAATGGCCCTGTTCTTTTGGTGGGGCAGGGATGCCTGATGGTGGCAGTGGGCCACAGGGCTGGGCTGGGCAGTGCCTTCACTCCAGGATTGGTTTTGGGCTGTGGTGGGTGCAGTGTGGAGGCAGCACCAGGTGAACAGTGTGGGCTCCCCTCACTGCCCAGCACACGGCACCCATTGCAGGAGTACATGGACCCCATGAACGAGTACAACGCCCTCAATGAGGCCAAGCAGATGATCGCCATCGCTGATGAGAACCAGAACCACCACCTGGAACCCGAGGAGATCCTCAAGTACAGCGAATTCTTCACGGGCAGCAAGCTGGTGGACTATGCCCGCAGTGTGCACGAGGAGTTCTGACGCCCACATGTGGGGCCTGCGCACCTGGGCTAGGTCCGGACAGTTCTGACACTACCCTGCCCTATGCTCTTGGCTGTGGCTGTGGGTGGTGCCTTATGGAACCTTCTCCCCCTTCCCACCAGACCGAGTCAGGCCTGCACACCAATCATTAAAGATTGCTGACCCTGGAGAGCCCTGTGCCATGTCCTGGGCAGAGGCTGTCCCGCGCTTCCTCCAGTCCTTGAATCGCAGAGGTCTCTGCTTGCACTGAGAAGCACTTGGGGGCATCTGTGTGGCGTCACCGAGGTGTACCTGCCAATGGGGGCTCCACAGTGCTCACTGCTCCTGCATCTCCTTGGAAGCAAAGATTAAGAAGGGAGGGGAGCACTGGGGGACCACCAGCTGCTTCCTGTTTCCTGAGGGGCTGGGTGGGGTGCAGCCTCAGACTGGACCGTGTTGAACTCTCCATCCTGGGCCATGCAACCTCTTAGGAAATGGAACTGTTTATTGTGACAAGAATCATTAATTTACTTTAAAATATAGTTGATTTTTTCTCCCAGCTTCATTCTGAAAAAGTGATGGTTTTTGCATTGTGGCTCATGGCTCCAGTGGAGCAAACGGCCCCCGGAGTGGCCGGGACCCCTGCAGCTGCTGAGTGGCGTTCATTGTTAGGCCCAGATGGTGCTTGTTGTAGGGTCCTGAGCTGCAGTGTTGGGAGGTGCGACTCTGCAGGACCGTGAGCTGGCTAAGGCCGTGGCCCAGGGGCATCAGTGTCCCTTTCCCCTGCAGGAATGCACGCGACCCAGAGCCCCAAGATGCCACGCTGGGTGGGGGCAGCTGGTACTTGGGCCGGGATATCCAAGCCTGTCCTGCAAGTTTGCCTCCCAGACCCTACAAACTGGCTTTTTAGGCAAGGGGTGTCAGTGACAGGGCTCTGCTCAGTGGGAATACTGGGGCTGTTTCCTATAGATAAGCAGGGGGCTCAGGGAGACTGGGTACTGAGGCTGGTGCAGGGTATGGCCAGGGCCATGGGGATGGTGGTGTGCATGGGCCTGGCAGTGAGTACCACCTTGGGTGGGTGGGGCTTCAGGGTCCACCTGGCTCATCCATACTCTTAGTCCCAGAGTCCTTTCTATTCCCAGAAGCCCTCTGACCCATGTCCTGGCTTGCCATTCCCCCACTCCCCCACTCTCACATCCATATGGAGGGATAGAAAATGCCAGTCTCGTGGCCCTAACCTCAAGGAAATAGGCCAGGTGCCATCTTGTCCCAGTGGGAGTGCAAAGCACCTTGGGGGTGTGGTTGGGCATCCTTTGACCACACTCACCTGCCGAGGGAGGGCACCTTACGCTGGGTCTCCATGCCCTCCCAGCAAACCCGTCCCTGCCCCACAAAAAAAACCCAAAAAAACAAAAAAACACTGCTTTCGAGTTAATTGCAACTCATAGGAACCTTATAGGACAGAACCCCATAGGGTTTCCAAGGCCAAAAATCTTTACAGAAGCAAACTGCCTCATCTTTCTCCCATGGAGCAGCTGGGGGATTTGAACCTTCAACGTTTTGCTTAGCATCTGAATGTCACCCCTACTTTTAGCCTGAGTTGCTGGCAGCAAGGAGGGCCCTTTTGTTTCCAATTGGAAGCCCCGATAGTGCAGGTTGGGTTGCACCTGGGGGCGCAGGCTTGTCCTTGGATCCCAGAGGTGGCCACAGGCCTCTGTCTGTCAGTACAGAGCCATGGGAAGGGGACTGGGCACCCCAGGAGCAGAAACATGGCCTGCCCACAGGGTTCTGAGTTTGCTTGAGAGGAAATGAGTTTGTTTTTAATGGCAAATGTAAGATTTTTCTCACTGTCAGTGGGAGGGGGCTGGAGAACAAGGTGGAGCCTTCCAGAAAATGCAGGAAGTTGTGTGGTTGGGAGTGGAGTGCTTGTGTGTACACACACAAACCACTCCTGCACACAAATCAATTTATGTGCATACGCATGCATGTACTTTCACCTGTGTCCATGTGCACACACACAGCACCACAGCTGCCTGGGAGGCCCTGAGCCCCTCTCCCCCCAGGCACTGAGGGGCTGCTTTGGAGGCTTGAGGACGGTGAGCCTGTCCTGGGGTGGGGATCGAGAGCCTGCCTCTCTCGCTCCACCGCCTCCCACACTGAAGTGGGGAGGGATGTATGGAATTTCCACTTAGGAGTATGAGCTCACTTCCTTCAGGGGGAGGGGGATTTCCCAGAGAGGCTTCGGCATTTTTACTCTCCTGAGAAAGACGTCAAGACAACGTCAGGGACCTCTGGTGGTGTATTGGTTAAGCTGTTTGGCTACTAACTAAAAGGTCAGCAGTTCAAACCCACCAGCTGTTCTGAGGGAGAAAAATGAGGCAGTTTGCTTCCGTAAAAATTTACAGCCTTGGAAACCTATAGGGCAGTTTTACTCTGTCCTACAGGGTTGCTATGAGTCTGAATCGATTCTATGGCAGTGGATGGGAGAAAGACATGGCTAAAGGTCACTATGAGATGAATTGACTTGACGGCAGTGGGTTTTTTTTTTTTTTTTTTTTAAGAAAGACGTGGCAGTCTCTTTTCATAAAGATTACAGCCTGGGAAGCCCAATGGGGCAGTTCTGTTCTGTCCTACAGGGTCACGATGAGTCGGAATCACTTCCACGCCGTGGGTTTTGGCCCCTGCCCTCCTGGAGGACTCTACACTCAGCTCAGGCAGTGACTTAGAGATGCATCATAAGTTCTTTCTTTTATTTTTAATTTTTGATCGATAATCCTGTCACACAGTCACAACAAAAGTTAGAGGGGACATCTGCCATCTCCAGCTGCCTCCCAAGACGGTGTTGCATAGAAGAAAACCAGATGCACATGTACATGCATCTGTGTGCATGTGTGAGTGTGCACATGTGTATGTGAGTGTGCATATAAGCATGGCATCTCTGCATGTGAATGTGCACCTGTAGTGCATGTACATGTGCATACATGGGGGTTTTGCATGTGTGCATGATGTGTGTGTGTATGTTCAAGTGGTATATGTGGCAAGTTGTGCACATGTGAACACATGGCTGTGCATGCAGGCATGTATTGCTTTCTTCCACTGAACACTGGTGGGTGATGTGCACGCTCTGCCCTTGGCCTTGTTGAAGTGCCCCTCCACACTTCATGGAAGGCCCTTCATGGTGTGGTCCTCCAACCACACTTTGGTGAGAGTCCAAAGCCCAGTGTATAGGGACCAGGTGAATGGGGGTGCCTGGAACGGGGTTCTGAAGGCCAATCCCACAACCTGGGCTGTTTGGAGGCAGAGTTTGGGGCCAGCAGGGGTAGCCAGGCCATCAGAGCAGCTGCAGACAGAGCCTGGGAGTTGGTCCATGCTGCCACAGTGACACACACACAGCCCTGCTGTGCAGACACTGGCCACACACTTGACCCTCATCTCTGTTGCTGACCTCTGTGTTGTTTCAGCTTGCCCTGGTCACTCAGGTGGCACCACAGCCTAGGCCTGCTGCCATCTCTGCCCTGCCACCGTGTCTGTCACACTCTGCCTGTCACCATCATGCCTACCCTGCAGTGCCTGGGGATGGCCAGACAGTAGGGGCTCTTCTCCAGCCACTCTCCTGACCAGCCCGCCACCTGGGTTTATACAGTGGAACACGCAGCCGTTGGATTGAGACGGTGAGGATTGGTATGAATGTATGGCGGAGGCAGCCTCCTGAGCCCCCCATCCCCACCCCAGGCAGGGAAAGTCGGTGTCAGGAAGGAGTGATCTGTGACGAGAGGGTGTTGGGCAGGGGCTCTGACTTTTGTGGGTAGCCTGGCCATACACATCGGAGGGAAGGGACAGGCAAGTCCTGGCCCCCGAGAATCTGGTCTGGCCCTGCCCTCGTGGTGTCTCCATGATCTTTGTGGTGAGGGGGGGATCTTGGTGGATGACTGGCTGGGCCAAGCCTAAGGTCGGTGGTTGCCAGGAGTAGGGGGTCGAGGGGCTGGGGCACAGGCAAGAAAGAAACCTTAGTTCGGACTGGGGTCCCTCAGGCTTCCATTTCCTCCCGCTCCTCCCCCGCCATCCCGCCCCTCCCCCGCAGCGCTTATAGCCACATCCTGCAAGTACAACCCCAGACTCTGAGGAGACGAGGATGTGCGTGGGGGAGCAGCTGGCAGTGCCCTGCGTGGCCCTGCTGCTCCTGGCATTGGCAGTCAGCCCTGTGACCACACTCACCTGCAATGGGACCACCTACCCCAGCGGCAGCAAGTGCTGTAATGAGTGCCAGCCTGGTGAGGGCCTGGGCTTTGGGGCTGAGAGGGGCCAGCATGGGAAGGAGGAGGGAGAACTGGGAAAGGGACGGGAGGGGCACTAGGAGGGGGCCCTGGGAAGGGGGCGAAGGAGAGGCCTGGGAGCAAAGGTAGATGGGGGCAGAGGTGTGAGGGTGCTGGGGGTTTGCATGGGGTCTCCCCTAGCACCTGGAACTGGGGGATGGATCAGCCAGGGCTGGGCCAGGGTGACTGGTCTGTGGGCAGAAGGGGTCTGCATTGATGCCACCCACCCCTGCTTCCCCCCACAGGTTATGGAATGGAGAGTCGCTGTGACCACATGCGGGACACAGTGTGTAAGCTGTGCAAACCCGGCTTCTACAATGAGGTGGTCAACTACGAGGCCTGCAGGCCATGCACGCAGTGCAATGAGAGTGAGTGCCACTGTTGCTGGTCCCCCTCCCCACTCGCCATCACCCCTCCCCCACTGCCCCTCCACCCCCACCACACCCTGGGAGACCACAACTGCCTTTGACTGTCACATGTGGCGGCTGTATGGAGTCCCCACACAGCCCAGAAATAAACCCCCAAACCACAGTGAGCTGTTCCCCGAGGGTCCCACCTGAAGGTCAGGGGTGGGGCATATGCTGGCCACGTGAGCCTCATTTGAGTCTGAGCTGCCTGTCTGGGAGGGTCCTTAAAGGAGAGGGAGGCCCCAGGAGCCATAGGTACCTGCAGCAGGCAGACTAGCAGACCCCACAGCCTTCAGGGATGCTCCTGACTAGAAGACAAACTCTGAAACCTCCTTCCCTGGACCCAGACCCTGACCTGACCCCTCCTTGGCCCTAATGCATCCTCCTGGCCCCTGACCCAATGATTTTTCCTGTCCAGGAAGTGGGAGTGAAACAGTGCACAGCTGCACACCAACAAGGGACACTGTCTGCCTCTGCAGGCCAGGCACCCAGCCCCAGGGTGGCTACAAGCTAGGAGTTGGTGAGCTGTGGGGCCTCAGCCTGGGTGTCAGCCAGTCTGGCTCTACACCACACCTGGGATCCCTTCATGCCTGGAAGGGGTGAAGGGTGGGCCATGGGCCTAAGTGCCAAAGTAGGGCCTGGGGTTGATCCTGTCGTGTCTCTCCCCTCCAGACTGTGCCCCCTGCCCCCCAGGACACTTCTCTCCGGGCAACAACCAGGCTTGTAAGCCGTGGACTGAGTAAGTGGCAGGCACGAGGCCTGGCGGACTGGGGGCCTGGGGAGCTGGGGCAGAGGGAGGCTGGGAGCTGGGGGCCAGAGGCCTGGGTGATGTGCAAGTCCCTCCCTATGGACCAGAGTGGAGTTTGTGACCAGGCCTAGGGCCCGAGAGAGAAGTTGTGTGTGTCTATGTGAGTACGACTGTGCCTGTGAGTGTGTGTGTTTGAAAGCATGGTTGTCTGTGCATGAACAAGTATGTGAGTGTGTATATGTGAGTGTGTGTAAGCATGTGGGTGACCATCCACAGCTGGGACCCCTGTCCCCACAGGGCTGGCATTCTAGAGGGAAGCAGGCAGGACAAAGGGCAGGGGGTTTGGGAGTACACAGACCCTGGGGAGCCATGGGTGTGTGAGTGGGCCAGTGTGAGGAGCAGCATGAGGGGGAAACTGAGGGGCACTGAGGAGGACCCTACAAGGATTTGGGGACCTAAGGAGGCCCCTGCAAGGTGGGGCAGAGGTTCCAGGGGTTAGGTCAGCCAGGGCTGCCTGTGAAGTGGTTCCAAGGCCTGGGCAAGGAATCATTGACTGCCTTTGGTCTGAGGTCTGAGGCTGGTAATTGTGTGGATGCTGCCCAGAGGCTGACCCAGGATGGACCCCTTGCCCCATTGCAGTCAGACGCAGTGTGGAAGCCCCTGCCATTACAGTCTGACCTAGTGCAGACCTCCAACCTAGGGGGGTAACCTCCCCGCTCCGTTGCTGTCCTGGCTGTAGGTCCACTTGGGTGAGGGGTAATGTCTCTTCTGATCAGTCCCCTCCACCCCTTGCAGCTGTACCTCCACTGGGAAGCGCACCCTGAAGCCGGCCAGCAACAGCTCAGACGCGGTCTGCGAGGACAGGAGCTCTCTGGCCACCACGCTACCCTGGAGCACCCAGCACCCCTCGACCCTGCCCACCACTGCCTGGCCCACCATTGCCCAGCCTGGACCCTCACAGGCACCTCCCAAAGCCCCAACAGGCCTCCCCAGGGGTAAGGAGCCTATCCTCACCCCAAGCAAGTGGAATGGTGGGCATGGGGTCTCCTTGTCCCCATGGACCCCACCCCAGCCGGCCTTGTCCCCCACAGGCCCTGCACTGGCCATCATCCTGACACTGAGCCTGGGCCTGGGCCTGCTGGGCATCACGGCTGCCATCCTCATCTTGGTTCTGCACCGTCAGGCCTGGAGGCCACCACTGGCCACCCCAAAGCCCCCTGGTGAGTGCCTGCCTGGGCCCAGCCCAGACTTTCCCGCAGTGGGGAAATCCCTACCTGTCTCCCACCTACCCTGTCCTCCTCCCCAGGGGGCAACAGCTTCCGGACTCCCATCCAAGAGGAGCACGCTGACGAGCACTCCGTCCTGGCCAAGGTCTGAGTGGAGCCAGCACCCTCTTCCCAAGCTGTGCCCAGAAGGTTCTGGCTGGACCAAGATGCCCCCACCACTCACTGAACCCTTGTGCCCCCTCTGCGCCGTTTTAGGCGTTTCTGGGTTGGCCTCTGGGCTCCAGTACGTATGTCGTGCATACTTCTGCCCAGGGCCACCACCAATAAAGACTTTCCCACACATGGGTCTCCATGGACATCAAGGGCTGAGGGTGCACCCTGATGGGGGGAGAGAGGAATGTGGGGCACCCTCGGGGGAAGAAGGGCACACACACCCAGCAGAGCGACAGGGGCATGTACCCACAGGGGACAGGTGGAGCAGTGTGCCCCCATGGAGATGGTACAGGGAGACAAGGGAGTGCATACCCACTGGGTAGTGTGGGGGGCATGCACCTGGCCAGGGGAAGGAAGGTGGAGGGACATGTGCCAACTGAAGGATGAAGGGACATGCACCGACTAGGGCACGGGGGGTGGTGCATAGATGGGGCCATGTGGTATGGCAGGCATGCACGGATGGGGAGGAGTTGGGGACAGGGGACACACATCCGTGGGAGGCGAGGGCGGTATATATCCATGCACAGGATGGGCCCATGTCCATCCCTGGCTGGGGAAGGGTCTGGGCCAAGGTGCAGTGGGCGGTGGGGTACTTAGCCACCTGAAGGGCCCTATCCTTTCCATTCTCCAGGTGTGGGACATCCTGGGTTTCATGGCAGGGGGCAGATGGTGACTAAAAAGTCCAGAATAAGTCTTTGGGAAAAGCAGCCTTGTGGTTTATTGTACAAATCTCAGGGCCACTCCCCCGATCATCTGTAAAACCTTGGCTGAGTCACAACAAGAGAAATCCTGTGTGTCCTGCAGTGCCACATAGTGTGAGAGGGGGCCCCTGGGCTGCCCAAGAGGACGTTGGACCACTAGCCACCTTGGGTCTCTGCTCACCCTTCTGAGGGGTGACACAGGTCTCGGCCTCCATGCAGACCCCACAGAGCTGGCAGAGCTATGACCTGGCCCCCAGCTTAAGAAGGAGGGAAGAGGGAGGAGAGGTGCCCCCACAGATCCTCCTGAGCCCCCAGCCAGCCTGGTGCCCCTACAAGCAGAGCTGGTGGTCCCTGACAAGGCCTCCATCATGCATCCTGGGCATCCGCCCTCCTGCCCCTGGGTGTATATTTATAGAGGAGCATGAGTGAACTAACTGAATGTCCTTACAGCGTTATTCCACGTAGTCCCAGGTTGGGAACCCAAATACCCATCAGCAGTAGGACGCCCCATACACTGCGGCGTGTTAAATAGAAAGATGCCAGGCCCCAAAAGAACACAGCTCCTACAATAATGCCCCCTGTGGACAGCATCAAAGGAGAGCCCTGGGGCCCCGTGAGACCTGGGGCTCCCTGGGCGACACCCTCGGGCAGCACAGGTGCCGCGTGTGGAAATGCATGAGCCCTCTGTGCCCTCTCCTGTGTGCAGGTCACACCTCACACGGGTGTGAGAAACAAGAAAGTTCACAGGTGCAGGACAAGTGGCCGGGTGTTGAGAGGATATCAGAGCGTCTGCTCAGTGTGAAAGACTCGTGTAAGCTTGAATAACAATGGAGCCATACAAGAGGCAGAAAAAGAGTGTGTATGTTTATGAGGTGGCACGAGAGGGTTCTCACTTCCACTTGGTCAGGAGTTCAGCTGGAAGGAGCATATTAAAGCAATGCACTGCACCACCCCTGTGTATCTGTATGCTTGGTGTGCTGGGTACCACAAATACTGTGTTCCTGAGTACACCACAAGTGCCCTGTGTATGTATACTCTGAGTACCCTGTGTGCTGTTTACACGAATAACCTGTGTGTGTGTACCAAGTGCCCTGTATACCCTAGCACCCTGTGTATGTGTACCCTAGGTACCTGAGTGCCCTGTGTACCTGTATACCCTATGTATGTCCACACATCTCCCTGGAAGACAATGAGCTGCTCACAAGGTACTGGGAAGCAAAGATGAGCAGATAAAAGTCATCCCCGACCCCACTGCCTAGTTACAGACATTCCATTCTTTCACTGAGATGTGACGTGCTGAGCACACACCCAGGTACACAGCACACAGGGCACTCAGGAACATAGGTATACAAGGCACACAGGTATACAAGGTACTTGGGGACACAGGGCACTCAGGTACATAGCACACAGGGCCTTGGGTACAGCAGGCATTCAGATATGCAGGACACACAGGTGCACAGGGTACTTGAGGTCACATCTACAGAGCATTCAGGAACACAGGGTACGTTGGTACACATACACAGGGTATACAGGTTCACAGGGCACTCAGGTACCTAGGATACACACACACAGGGTGCTAGGGTATACAGGGCACTTGGTACACATACATGGTTTACTCAGGTACACAGCACACAGGGTACTCAGCGTATACATACACAGGGTACTTGGGTACACAGAGTACTCGGGAACACAGTACTCAGGGTACCCAGCACACCAGGCATACAGATACACAGGGGTGGAGCAGTGCATGCTTTAATATGTTCCTTCTAGTCATGATCTTGCAACTCCTACAAAATGATTGAGTGGGAATATGCACATAAGGTGCTTGTGGCTCACCCAGGAGATTGGACAGTTTTGTTAATGCAAATAAAGTACATGGAACCCTTGCAAGGGTTGTTGTTGTTAGGTGCTGTCAAGTCAGCTCCGACTCATGGCGACCCTATGTACAATGGAATGGAACCCTGCTCAGTCCTGTGCCGGCCTCATAATACTTGCTATACCTGAGCCCATTGTTGCAGCCACTGTGTCAGTCCATCTCGTTGAGGGGCTTCCTCTTTCTCGCTGACCCTCCACTTTACCATGCATGACGTCCTTCTCCAGGGAGTAGTCCCTTCTGACAACATGACCAAAGCAGGTAAGACGAAGTCTGGCCGTTCTCACTTCCAAGGAACATTCCAGCTGTACTTCCAGGACAGATTTGTTAGTTCTTTTGGCAGTGCATGGTACTTTCAGCATTCTTTGCCAGCACCACAACTCAAAAGTATCAGCTCTTCTTTGGTCTTCCTTATTCATTGTCCAGCTTTCACATGCATATGAGGCGATTGCAAACAGTGACTTGAGTTAGGCGCACCTTGCAGGGGTGGGATCACTCAAATAAGGTGCATGGAACCCTTGTAGGGAATCAGTCAGTTTTGCCATCGCACTAGGCTTAAAGGGAGCCAATCCCAGAGGTTGGAGGGGGGACCTCGCTACCATCAAGAAGAGCCAAGAGTAGGTTTTCTGAACTGAGAACCTCCTAGACCCAGGAGACAGCAAAAACTGTAATACTAAAGATGACTTCCGTAGTGATACTGCCTCGGAAACCCAAGGAGGGGTCGCTATGAGTTGGGTTTGACTCGATGGCACATAACAATAACAACAACAAAGATGATGAAAGAGACTGCATTGGCTTTCTGGCCCATGGAATGAGGGGGCCACAGTGGGCTTACCCATCCACAGAGCAAGAGAGCTGAGGGCCTTCGGACAGGAGGCTTCCTGGAGGAGTGGGATGCCCCTGGGCACTTATTGGCAGAGCTAAAGAACTATGTAACTAACACGTGCCTGACAGGGCAGAGCCCAGGCCAAGGGCAAGTGTCCAGGCTAACAGCAAGAGCCTGGTGGCAGCAGCAGCCAAGACGCCGTCCTGATCAAAGAACTGCATCCAGAGTTGTTCCTGTTATTTCCAAGTTGATGTTGCTCCTGAATTGTAATTTGTTACTTCCCTAATACATCCCATAATTGTGAATATGGTCTGTGAGTTGCGTGTGGCCATTGCAACGAATTATCAAACCCAGCAGAGAAGTAGAGTGTGCTGTGGCGGGGACAGGTGGTGTCGGAATCAGTAAAAAGGTTGGAGTGGGGAGGTGTGTCTGACTCCACCCCGTAGGGGTCAGCCTTGGGCTGACGCTGATCTTGATGATCCTCCTTCCTCCTTGTAAAGTGAGAGGAGTATGATGCCACACCATTTTTACATTAGGGTATCCGGTACACAAACACAGGTACGTGACACAGGTACACAGCCCTGCTTTGGGAGCCCTCTGCATAGCAGGCCATGTCTTGGGAGGGATGCAGTGGTGGGAGCCCTTCAAGAGGAGGCCCTGAACCTATAAGTTCATGTGAATGATCAGAATTCCCAGGTGTATAGTAGAGCTGACAAGGGGCAAGGTTATGGTCATTACTTGGTCACAGCCAGCTACCCAGAGGGACCGAGTAGTTGATCCTGCGGGCTTGGGACCATAGTCGCAGGGGACATCAAGCTCAATTGGCATAACATACTATACAAAACATTGTTCCACCTACTACTTTGGCGAGTAGCGACTGGGACCTTAAAAGCTAGGAAGCTGCCATCTAGATGCAACAACGGGTCTCTCCTCGTCAAGAAGAAAGAAGAAAACCAAAATTAATGGAAACAATCAGTCCTAGCGACTGGTACACCATCCGATCTGCAACCTATACAACTATGAGACCAGAAGAACTAGATGGTGCCCAGCTACCACTGCCATCCACTTGGAAGGGATGTAGGAGATCCTGCATAAAGAGGGAGAACAATGTGGAACAAAACTCAAAATCATTTGGAGGCAAAAAAAAAAAAAAGAAGGTGGGGACCAGGTTTGCTGGTCCAATGGAGCCTGGTGTAACCACTGAGACTATGGCCCCTAGTTGCCCTTCAGGTCTGGAATTGAACCCACAACTGTGGTTTCCAGCCAAACAAAGTACAGGCATGTGAGTTAAACATTTACCTCAAGTAGACACACGCCCTGGAGAGAACAATCATGGGAGAAGGAAGGGCTGCTTATGCACAGGGAGATAGCTCAGGGTGCAGAAGAGTATGAAGGGATGGACACTGGGAGGAGGTAACTATGGGGAGGAAGTGGGAGGGGAGCTGCTGCATTGTAAATTTTGGTCAATGACATGAGACAAAGTATATGTGAACTGCTGTATGAAAAGTGAATTTACTCTGTAAATCTTCACCCAAATCCTAATAAAAATATATATATATAAAAGAGGAGGCCCTGAAGAGGTAGGCACTGGCATTTTGCTGCTGTGACTCTTGCCCTTGGCTTTGTCCCCAAGTTGCTATGTCACTGTGCACATGACCTATGCCCTATCATGTCCATGTACAATCGCATGGGGCATCTACCCTCCTCAAGAAGGAACTACGTCCAGCACAGCAGCTTTGCTTGCTCTGTGCAGGGCTGAGCTGGCCTAGTCTCCATGCCTCAGCGCAGCATGGCCCCTTGTGGTAGTTAAAGCTATATGTCGACTGGGCCTGGTTGAGTGGCTGGGCAGCTGGAGGTAGTTATTCCCCATGATGAGACTGGCAATCAGCTCCATGGTGGGATCTACCACATGCAGCTGAGTAGTTGCTTTAGGGATGTGATCTGCTTCTCATTTATAAGGAGAAGCTTTGGGAATGGTCTACAGTTTTTTGGCTGCATGTAGTCAAGTCACTGTTCAGCAACCTGCCATGTTCTGCCGATCTTGAGACTTGAATTAGCTGCCTGCCATGTTGTTCGATAATAGCAGGACTGTGGCATTTTACTTGTCAACCTTGGGTTTGTCAACCTCAGCAGCTGCCTGAGTGAAGAAAAGTCTCCAGCCTTTAGTGGGCTGGGACCAAGGTTGAGGGGTTTTTATCCAGGCCCTAGAGCCTGACACTTTGAACTTGGACTTCTAACCTCCAAAAACTGTAAGAAAAAACTCCTGTTTGTTCAAGCCACCCCATTTGTGGTCTATTCTTGTCACAGCAGTACTGTTGTTGTTATGTGCTGTTGAGTCGGAACCGACTCATAGCAAGCCCTCCTTAGGTTTCCAGGGCAGTATTACTACAGAAGTAGATTGCCCAACCTTCCTTCCAAGGAGTGGCTGGTGGGTTTGAACCACCAGTCTTCTGGTTAGCAGTTAAGTGCTTAGGCACTACGCTACCAGAGCTCCCCATAGCAGCACTAGGTAACCAAAACACCCCTCATGGGGCTGGCTGGGGCTCTGTCAGCTCAGCAACACGGGCTGAGGCTGCCCCTGCCCCATCCTGTGCCCCACCCCTGAAACTGCTGGCACCTCTAACACAGTCTCCACTTCCTGAGGACCAGCTGACACCCGACAGCCTGATAAACATCAATTGCAGGGTTTGTCATATCTTCTGGGGCCCAGACATTGAGTGTGCACCAAAATGGGGTGATACTTTTGGCCCAGACTCGACTCTTAGGTCCTCTATAGTAAGCAGTGGCAGAAGTACTGAACCCTGTCTTCGTTCTACTTGGGACAACTTCACCTAGCTGGAAGCCAGGCGTCACTCCAGCATCTACAGACCATGGGGCTTTCTTTTTGCCCAGATATCTTAGGGTCGTTTCCCAGCCTCTGGGCTGAGCACAGGTCTCCAGCCACCAGCCATCTGCTTCAAAAGGGCAGATTCCAGCACTGCACCACACTTGGGGGACAGCCTGCCCGAGAGGGATCCCTTATTCTGTAGTGATGTGTGGTCTGCCTCTCTGGAAAGGGCTCCCACATCTTGGACTTGAGAGCAATAGTTCTGCCCCAAACTGCCAATCCTGTTGTCTCCACAGAAAAGAAGATGAGCTCATTGGAGAAGTGGTTGCTGCGGGCCTTGAAGGGGCTTCCGACAGGGTATCCTGGGACCTCTGGGTCATAGCCTTCATCGTATTGCCAGCCCGTGGATGACATCATGGTCACGTTTGTGCCCCACCACCTGCCAAGCTTCCAGTGCCCTTCATTCCCTGTGCCAGGGGTTATGAGACTATGAGGAGGTGGGGCCATCCAGGGAGGCTTCAGGGAGAAGGCAGAACCCCAGAACCTCTGGTAAAGACATATGGAAACTGAGGCTCAGGGCAACATGGGGATGGTCTGGGAGAGGTTGGAGGCTAAGCTCTCTGGGGACTGTGATCTCTGTAGTGTGCCCTTGGCTCCCTCCAGGTCAATGGGACTTGGGGGTGGTGTGTGGAAATTTGACAGATGTGGGTTAGAAGCTGTGGGCAGCCTGAGACTTAGCAGGGTCCCTCCCTCCAAGTTTTAGGTGCCACTACAGAGAAACAGCTGATAATAACAGTCCAGCCTCTCTTTTCACCAGCTCTTTCCAGGCCTCCCCCAGCCCAGATCCGAGGAGTTGCCCTGGGAAGTTGGAGCTGCCAAGGGGTTCCCTGAAGGTCTCTATCTAAGCAATGAGGAGGGGGTTCCTGGGGCTGGAACTCAACCAGCCCCGTTTGCCACGTGCCCTAGGGGGGAGGGGCGCCGCTTCCCAATTCTCCCAGTTTGCCCTGGGTTCCTCAGCGCCCCCCACCCCCCGTGCTGTATTCATCGCACCTGGTGGGGCTGCCCAGGCTTAGTGGGCGGCCTGGTGGGCGTGGCTACAGTCCCGCGCGGGTCTGGGGTCGAGCTTGGGGTGCCTGGCCACTCAGTGAGAGGAAGGATTTCATCCTATCCCCTCTGGAGGACTCAGGGAGGAAACTGGAGGTGAGAGGAGGTGTCTTCAGCCAGGAGCAAGGGGGGCTCAGCGGAAGGGGGCACGCGCGCGGGGAGCTTAGGGGCGTCGAGGTAGCCCCCGCCAACCACTTCGGTGGGCACTCCCCGCGTCGCAATGACTCAGGGTACTTCCGCCTACCCGCATCCGGTGCCCTCTTGCTGCTCCCCCTGGCTCCTTTCCCTCTCAGCTCATCTAGCCTCCGCCAGCAGATCCAGCCCTGGGCGTCCCGCGCTCCCAGTGCCTCAAAAGCCGGAGGTTTGACTACAGTTCTGGGCTTGATCGGAGAGGGGCCTGTCGGGGGCGTGTCCAGGCGCTTGCCAGGGGTCATCTAAAGGCGCGAGCCTGGTCAGGCCAGTCCGGCAGGATGCTGTCGAGGGCGGCCTGGTGCGGCGTAGCGCTGCTCTGTGCGCTCAGCCTGGGCCAGCGCCCCGCGGAGGAGCCGAGCTGCGGCCCCGGTCGCTTTCTGCGCGGGACGGAGTCTGATGCGCGCTGCTGTCGTACTTGCACCCCAAGTAAGCCATGGTCAGACAAGCCCCATTGCTGACGGTGGGGGCTGGGCGGCAGCGTGCCCAGCTGAGAGCATGAGCCACGGGGGAGGTTTAGGGAGTAGGGGCCAGGTGGACCAGTCGAAGGCTTTTCTGGGATGTAGCGAGTGGTTGGGTGCCGGCTCGGGCGTGGGGCCCAGGGCAGAGGGTGAGGGAACTTCCACTGAGAGGGGTTCTGGAGCCTGGCAGGGACCCCTCAGGGGTCGTGGTGAGATCTCGGGCTTCACCCAGGCTGCCTCCTGCCCAGTATGGGGTCCCAGCCCTGGAATCTATGTCTGCCCAGTCCCGGCCTCTGACCTGTGTTTGTGGGTGATAGAACCTGGATGTGCCAGTCAGGGAATGTGCCAGATCACAGGTAGACAGACACTTCTAGGGCTTCACCTTTGTGGCCTGGGGGTGGGGGGCAGGCTCCAGGACCCCAAATATTCCTGGGCATGGTAGCTAGTGGGGTGGGCCTGGTCACAGGGGGTGGGCAGGCAGCAGTCTCAGGTGTCCACCAGGAACCTTGGCTGGCAGCAACTGATACAGAACAATGCCAGGTACGGAGAGGGAAACAAACAAACAAACAAAAAACCAAAGTCACTGCCATTGAGTCGATTCCAACTCATAGTGACCCCCTTTGGGTTTCTGAGGCAGTAAATCTTTATGGAAGGAGATTGCCCAGTCTTCCTTCAGCGGAGTGACTTTGGGTTTGAATCACCAACCTTCTGGTTAGGAGGAAATGCCTTAGGCATTATGTTACCAGAGCTCCATGGAGAAAGAAGGGGTAGATCTCCAGGCCTGGAGTCCTCCGGGAATTTCCAGATGACTGTCCAGCAGAGCCAGCTCCTGGCCACATGAGAGAAACAGCTTCAGGGCAGTGGTGGACCCACACAGGCAGGAAGGACAGCTGGACAGAGCCTAGGGTCCTGGGCCCACTGAGTCCCCTCTGCTTGTGGGGCTGAGGTGGGACTTGCACAACTGCTGAGAAGTTGTTTTGTCATCCCCTGCCACAGCCATGGAGGCCTGTCCTGAGTGGGACTGCACTTGTGTCCAGCCTGAGTTCCACTGTGGAGACCCACATTGCATCAGCTGCAAGCACCATCCTTGCCCACCGGGCCAGGAGGCACGGCCCCAAGGTGGGTCCCTAGAGGCTTCCAGAGTGCAGGGTATGTGTGGGCAGGTGAGCAGGCATGTGCATGGGTGTGGAGAACTGAGCACCCCAGCAAGTAGGCAGCTGTGGGAGGGCTGCTCCCTTGGGGAGGTGGTCCTTCTTGAGCCTGGGCCTTCACTATCCAGGGGAGGGTACCAGCGCCCCCTCAGGACTGGCTGTGAGGGCCTGTGAAGGCTGTCCTGTGGGCCACTGGCCTTCAGTCCCAGGCACTGCACCTCCCTGTCCACCCAGCTCAGGACAGCCAGTCCTGCCCCCATGAGCCCCGCCAGAGATCAGTCCCCTCTCTGAAAGGAGAAATGTACATCCTCTTGGGGATGGCTTACCTGTGATGGAAAGGGTGGCTGAGAGCCAGGAGCTGGAGGCAGGCATGAGTGGATGAGGACTGGGGGCAGGGGAGTGGGCGCCTGTGAGGCATGGGCTGGAGAGGAGACCACTTGCTCTGGGGTCAGCAGGGTGCCAGCCTCAGCCCCTTTCTCCGGGACTCCTGCTGCTTGCTCCCTGCTGGACCAAACTGGAACCCTGCTGGCTCTTCCGTCCTACTCCTTCCTCCTGTTCCTGCCTCACACTGTCCCCCCTGTGTCCACTTAGGAGAATCCCCCTCATCCGAGGTCACAGCCTATGGGTGCCCCCATCTCTACTTCCCCACAGGCACCTGGAACAGGCCAGTGTGCTGGTTTATCCAGAACTCGTATCCATTCTATCTGCAGACCTATAGATTCAGAAATCTCTATTGAATGAGTGACATGGGGGCAGGGGCTGTCATTATGCCATGGACCCTGATCCCAGAGGGACACCCAACTGACCAACCCACCCCACCTCAACTATGCAGCATCCCCTACAGCCTGTCTGTCTGTTCCCAGGGAAATTCAATTTTGGCTTTGAGTGTGTTGACTGTGCCCCCGGGACCTTCTCTGAGGGCCATGATGGCCACTGCAAGCCAAGGGCTGAGTGAGTTCAGGGTGGGGTGGTTCTGGGGGCCCCGGGGAGTACAGGCCTACCCTGGGCGGACCAGGCTGGGGGCTGAATGGCATCCTAGTCCCTCCCAGTGCAGTGACACCAAAGGCCCCCTGTGATCTGGTGACCCCCAAACAGCTCAGAGGACAGCAGCCCACACGGGGGCTGCCTAATCACTGCCTTGATGGTGCCTCTGTTTGTGTGCGTCCAGCTGCTCCCAGCTTGGGTTCTCCACAGTGTTCCCAGGGAACAGGACTCACAACACTGTGTGTAGCCCAGGGCTTCCTGCTGAGCCATGCCACCCGCTGACCCTGGCCCTGCTTGCCATGGCCAGCTGCATCCTCGTGCTGGCCGCCGCCCAGCTGGGCCTGCGCATATGGGAGCTAAGGAGAGCACGCATGTGGCACCGAGGTCAGTTACGTTCTGGGTGGGGAACCGGGCCCCTGGCTATCCACTGACAGCAGCTTCCTGCAGGGATGAAGCTGCCCTCGGAGGTACCACTGGCTGAGGATGCTCGCAGCTACCAGTTTCCTGAGGAGGAGCGGGGGGAGCGGCTAGTGGAGGAGAAGGGCCGGCCTGGGGACCTGTGAGCATGAGGCCTTGAGGCCTTGTTCTCTTGAGACCCCAGAGCCCTGGACCTGCAGTGCCAAGCAGACCCTCCCAGGAGCTTGCCTGGGCGGTGGGGGTGAGACCCTACTTTGGCCCCAGCTCTGGCCCCAGCTCTGTGCCCCTTGATGGCGGAAGTGGGTGTAGAAGGATGACAGTGATATTTCTCCTGACCGTGTGGGAGGGGCAGCTACTGTGCCTTGTGGGAGACACAGATGTGGCTTTGGCCACAGTCCCTCCCTTGCCAGCCCTTTTGGGTAGAGTTTGTAAACAGAGTACTGGCCAGGAGCTGTGTGGTGGGCACGCTGTGCCTGGCCTGGCCAGGTAGGCGGTCAATTAACACTTGCCAAGTTATCTTCATGGACATGTGCTTCTGTGGGGGTAATGGGGAGTTGAAGGCAGGGACCCCACCATATGGTGCCATGGGGGGACAGACAAGTCCTGCCCTCCCCTGGGGCCCCCTGACTGAACATGGGGCAAGGACCATCAGGGGACATTGCAGCCCTGGCACAGAGCTTGGGCAGGGGTCCCAGGCCTGGAGGCTTGCTGGTGCTATGCTAGACTTCTCCCTCCTCATGTCATGTGGTTGCCCTATCCAAGCCCCTCTCCCTGACCATCTGCCTGGAGAAGATACACCCCGGGATGGCTCATCCTGGCCTGTGTCTCATCCCTGGCCAGGGCCTCCAGACCTCTGGGTGCCATGGAGGGTCTGGTTGGTGGGCTAACCATACAGCCTGCTGGCCTCACTTGGATCCTGTGCCTAGAATGAGGTCAGTTACTTCCCCCAGCACTACTGGCCTGGGGGACAGCTTGGCTGGGCTCCACTGCATTCTCTCTCCCTGATGGTGTGGCTTCTGGCCCCCTCCCCTGCACTGGCTGCTACCAAGTAAGATCCAATCAGGACTGTCCTAGGTGTGGCTGTGAGTGTGCTCGTACCCCATGCCAGCACAGACCAGCCTCAGCAGGAGCACCCTCAGGGCATGGGCACACCTCACCCCATGATCTAGCTGGCATACCAGCCCCCAGGACATGCAGCCTCCTCAGAGCCCCACCCTTGCACTCTGCCCCAGGAGCCCCCTGACTCACCTTTTCCCACCTATAATGGGCCCAGCTCACAGAGAAGAGGTGGAGAGAGGATCCCCCTTTTCACTCCACCCCTGCCCTGCCCACCACAGCACAGCACATAGGCTCCTAAGAGATACTGAGGGAGGAGGCAATGCTAGTCCAATAGAGAGGACATTGGGAAGCAATGTGAAGAACCCAAGCCCAAGGGTTGCAGGGGGACACCTGGGAACAGTGGACAGTGAACAGTGGCCTTGGACCCTGGAAACAAGGGCATCAACTTGACTCAAATGGGAAATGCTGCACTACCCCCACCTGTGATCCTGGACTCAGGACCCAGGCTTCATGGCCAGAGGAGACAGACACCAGCAGCGTGAACCAGTAGAAAAATGCCACCCAATCAGAGTTGCCAAGAATGTTAGGCCAGTGACGTGGCAGTGGGGCTAGGTGGCAGTCGGGTGGCCTGACCCCAAGGGTCAGCATCTTAGAAGGGACCGGAGGGTCAAGACTGGAGAAAGGGTTCCAGAATGAGGGACAGCACACAACAGACCCAGGGGACAGCTTAGCCTTGTCTGAAGACCTGCCCAGTCCCCACAGCCCCCCTGCTGGGATCTGCTTCTCCTAGGGTACTTGTGTCCATCCTGGGACCTCCCCCAGGCACCAGCTCAGCTCTGTGCTGTGGGGGTGGGGAGTCGGCTCCCACAGATTGAGATCTTCCGGAGGTGACATGTCCTAGCCTGGGACCTGGGCGATAGGCCACCTGACTGACTCAGCACGGAAACTCCTCGTGGGCAGCTCCCTGTTGCACGTCAGAGGGGTGGGGGATTCCACAGTGGGGTGGGAGACCCATACGTGCCCCTCCCCCTTCCAGGCAGCACCCACGTGGGCCCCTCAGGGCCTCTGCTGTGTCCTCAGACAACCACCTTCCTCATGTACATTCCCAAGAGCACCCTGCCTACAAGAAGCCCCAGTCCCTCCCAGGCCACTGCCTCTCTGAGGCCCCCTAAGGTCTCCAGGGACAAGTGGTGCTGGAAGGGCCAGGAACTGGTGGTGGGCTCTGCACTTTGTAGGGGTTGGGGAGCCTTCCCCTTTCCCTGAAGCCTCCACCCAGCAGGGACATGTTTTAGCTCTGCCCCTGGTCCCTGGTCCTGGCTTCCTTCCAGCTCCCCGCCTCCAGTCATCTTTTCAGCATCCCACCTGCCCCCTCTTTGCCCCCTCTGGCCCAACACACAGTCCCTTCTCCCGCAGGACCCCAGACCCTCAGCAGGAACCCTGCTCTGGGCACAGTGCCAGCACAAAGTGGGATCGAATTGGGGTGGGCAAGCAGGAAGGGGCAGCAAGGGGTTCAGACCAGAGCCCTGCCCTGGGGCAGGGCAAGGACAGAGGCAGGAGGTGTTGGGTGAAAGTAGGCGGGCAGAAGTTCCCACCGAGGGCCCTGGTAGGGGACAATTAACAGAGTCCAGGTTTGGAGCTGAGGGATGAAGGGGAGGGACAGGCTCGAAACAGTGTGTGTTGTGTCGGGGGAGGTGTGCAGAGCCTGGCAGCCTGGGCTGACCTGGGGCCATCAAGGGGTACCTAAGGGAGACCATGCTTTGCCAAGAACTCTATACCCCCAGGAGCCCCTACAAGCTCCAGGTGTTCCGGAAAACCACAGCCCCTTTCCCACACTCTGGGTCACAGCTGTTATGTCAGCTCAGTCTCAGATAAAGGCCTCAGATAAGGGTCCACCCTCTGTTCCCAGAAGTGCTTCCGGGCACAGCGGCTCCCACCCAGCCCCCACCCCCTCACCTTGCTGGAAGAGGCCCCTGCCCCTCCTGGCCCTGGGACTCCACCAGTGTGAGGATACTTCTCCCACCCAGCTGGACAGAGACCTAGGGTAGGGCCAGGGGATAGGGATAGGAGAGATCCTTGGCCACTCGCCTTCCCTGCCTGGCCCTAGTTACAGGGCAGCCACAAGGGTCAGTGGAGGGGGTGGTGGTCCCAGACTGCCCCAGGTGTTGAGACATAGGACCATTGATGGGATGGTACAGGCTGTTGGGCCTGGCCACCAGGGGTCTCACCCAGGCCATCACCCCTACTACCTACCCCCCTCTGCGGTGGCTAGTCTGGATATGGCCTCTCCCCAGCCTGCTGAGCTGGGGTGCTCCTCTCCAGCCCCTATGAGGGCTTCAGGGCCCCCTCAAACAGCTCTGTCAGGGTGGAGAAGGAGGAACAGGCCCCTCACCCCCCTTGGGTGCTGTCTTTGAAGGAAGCTTCAGGTTGGGGTACTTTCCAGACATGATGTAAATGCAGGTCAGGGTTGTTCCTGGTGCCTCCTTTAGACACTTTGCAGGGGATCAAGGGGACCGGAATGGCTGTGATGCCCTGGACTGCGATTGATCTGCAGGGAGCTCCATGGAATAGTGGGGCTCCCTGTGGGACTGAAGCATCCAGCAGACTCTGGGCCCTGCCTGTCAGGGGTTCAGGGAGGTCGCAGCTGGTGCGTAGGTGAGAGCCTGGGCTGACCTGTCTCCCAACATGGACAGGGATGTGGGGATTGGAGGGCGGGAGCGGCACAGAGTTATGTGTGGATCAGAGCTGGGGACAGCTAGACCCCACCCAAATCTGTGGTGGAAGGCACTGCTCTGAGTTCTCTAGCTCCCAGCATTCCTTCCAGAGAGGGGGAGGGAGGGAGGAGAGGGAGAGAAAAAGGAGGGAGGGGCCAGGGAAGCAGGAAAGGAAGAAGGGAGGGGGAGGGCAGCCCCTCTGGGCCAGTCACTTTGGAGCAGCTCCTAGGCTATGTCCTGAAAAGCCCCTCAGCAGGAGTGTGGAGGACCTCTTTTATGCTCCGCACTTGTTGTCCTAGAATATTGTAGCATCCCCATACCTGAAGTTTGCAGGGGGTCCATACCTCACTGTACCCTGACAGTCTCTTTCCCGCCTCTCCCAGGACATGGGACACCTTGGAGCCAGCAGGGGCGGTTGGGATGGGCACGTCCCCCCACATGCACTGGGGTGAAGGAGCAGCACTCTCAAAAGCCTTGTTTATTCACTGATATCTGCACAGGCTTTGAAGGGGGCACCAGGGAAATGAGAGCAGCAGGTACCTCCCAGACCTGGGGCTGGGCTGGAGTCAGGATAGAGCAGGCCATACTGCAGACATGTGGTCTCCTGCCTCAGGTTCAGGTCCCAGGTGGGTTGTCTCAGGTGAGCATGTACTGTCCTCCTTGGCAGCAGAAATATACCTGAAGCTTCTTCTGCAGAATGGTGGCCCCACCAAATTTGGGGGGTGGGGCAAGTTTCCATGGGTAGTGGGGGGTTGGGCAGTGCTGATGACCACCAAGGGGACATGCCTGAGCATAACCATGAGGCATGTATGAGGAGAACTCCATCATAGTGTTGGGCAGGTCAGGGCCTTTGGGCAGGGAAAGGGGCAGAAGACATGGGGGTACAGTGGTCCAAGGGATGTCAGGGCAAGGGAGAACAATGGTGGGTGTTGGGAGGTGACCCCGCAGTAGCATGGGCTGTGAATTTCCGAAGATGCTTTGGTGTGGCACCCACCTGCCCAGTGTGAGGTTGGCTCACACCCTTTCTTCTGACCCCAGCCCCAATGCACCTTGAGCTGTCCTCAGGCACTTGAGAATTGGGAGGGCCACCCCTGCCCAAGCCTGCAGGAGAGATCCTACCCAGAACTGCTGGAGGGGACTTGGGGCTCCAGGACCCTGGTCACACAGTGACACATGTTTTTGCCTCTCAACTGGGACCTCACACTCTGGGCCACAGCTTGTCACTGCAGCAGGTGGGGCTGGACAGGATGCGGTGGGTTGGGTTGGGACAGGATGGGAGAGGTGAGGTGGGCAGGACTGAGTGGGCAGCCTGGGCCAGGTGTTTCGGCTGAGTGCTCTTCAGGGTCATGATCGCTGTGGTCTGGGCAACTTTCTTGACTTAGTTCCAGTTTCCCCCTCTGCCCAGCAGGGACAGTAGTACAGTCTCCCAGGCCCGATTGCACCCCTTCCTCTCCCCTTCTGCCCCAACACACCCGTCCTCCTTGCCCTTTGCCTTCTGGACACACGGCAGTGGATGGCGCCCTCTAGCGGTGTCTAGCCGTGGCGTTCCGCGGGAACGGAGTCCCCGCCTACTTCTCCGGTCCCACCAGCCCACAGTACAGAACGGTTCGGGTATCCAGTCACCCCTCCCTTTGGCTCCTTCGGAGGGTCTCCGCCAAAGCCTCTCCCCGTGCCCACAATGTGCTGGGGTCGAAGCCTCGGGTCTGCAGGGTCCCTAGTGGGGGCAGGACCAGCGTCAGCCCTGCATCAAAAGGCAGGGCAGTGAATGGGTCAGGTGGAGGGGGCAGTTGGAGAGGTAGGGGCAGGGTGCCTGTGCCAGAAGTGCAGGAGGAGGGGTGAGTGAGTTGGGGGTGGCCCTGGACTGGGAGAGCAGCTTCTTACCGGCTCTGAGAATCTGGGGCGCTGCGCGGGGGTGGGGTGCAAGAAGGAGTTTGGGCAGGCTCTGGTTTCATTTGGTGGGGGGCTTTGAGGTACCCCAGGGGCTGTGGTCTCCAGGTCTGTGTCTTGGACTCAATCTCTCTGCAGCCTAAGCGCCTGCGTGCGGAATTCCCCTACCCCAACAAGAGTTTCTGGAAGCGGGGATGTGCGAGGCCACGCGGTTGGGGTTAGGATAGGGGCAGGCCAGCGGGGGCTGCTCAGAAGACCGCCTCCCGGTTTCTGCAGCACAAGCCCCTCATTCTTGACCTTCCGACGGCCTCCCTCTCCCAAGGACCGGCCTCTGCGACCCAGCAGAGGAGGTGGCTGAGGAGCAGCGGGATGGCGTCGGCCCAGGGACCACCAGGGCTTGCTGAGGGCTGGCGGGGCTTGGCCTAAACTGCTGCGGAGCCGAGTTTGTAACAAAGTAGCTTTTATAGGTCCCCGAGAGGGCGAGCGTCAGAGGCGCTCCGGGTTAGGATCCCCGGTGGCCCGCAGCCCTGCGCCCCTCGAGCTCCTCCTCGCGCTCGTCTACCGCCGGCCCCCCGTAGGGCTCCCGCGTCAAGGCCTCGCCGCCCGCGAGCGGACGCCGGGCGGCCGGAACCTCCGCGTCCCAGAGGTCGAACTGGAGCTCCGTGGGGCCGGGCGCCCGGGCCTCGGTGTCCTGTGATGGCCGGGGGCGCCGCTGAGCCGAGGAGGAACCCCTACCACCAGAGTCTCGGGGCGGCGCGGGCCTGCGCGCGCCCGGCTTGTCTGAGGCCCGGGCCGGCGGCGGCGGAGCCGATGGGGTGGTCTCGTAGGCCAGCCGGGGGCCCGATGGCGCGGGCGGGGGGCGGCAGGACAAGCGCGAGCCTCCCAGGCGCGGCCACAGGTCCGTCTCGCCATTGTGCAGAAGCACAAAGCGGCGCTGCGACGCCAGGGGCAGCATCTTTTGGTTGCGCAGGCTCTTCTGGAAGGTCTCCAGCGCCAGGTCTACGGGTGCAGGGGAGAGTGATTGAGGGGCTTCTGGGGGAATGGGCGGAGGAGGGGAGGAGACCGTGAAGTGCGGGACTCAGGCTTTTCCAGAAGTTCAGGAGATGAGGTGGGGGAGTGGTGGGTAGTAGGACAATCTTTTCCTGCAGGTATGAGTAGGAGTGTGGGGTTCCAGGCAGGCCCTTCAGTCTTGGAGGGCCAGGTTTGTGGGGGTTTGTGCTTCCAGGAGAGGCTGGGAGGCCGGTGGCAGGGGGGCCCTGAGGGTGTGTGGGGGTTCCACAGGGGCTCACCCAGGGTCTCCATGACCACTCCTGGAATCACCTCCTTCAGGACCTCACAGTTAGTATGCAGGGCAGGGTTGGCATTCATCTCCAGCAGCCACACCTGGGCCAACATCATCTGTAGCCCTCATCCAGGTACCTGCTTGGCCAGCAGGAGGCCAAGACCTTGGTTCCCATTAGGCTGGGGGTCCTTGAACAGGGCTCTTGTGTCTCTGGTCTCATTCCCACATTTGCCCAGGAGCTGAGGTGCTAAGGGTCTCTGTCTGGCTTTGGGGGCTGCCCCAAGGAATGAATACAGCCGAGTCCCAGTGGAAGCAGGAGGCTCAGCCTCTTGAACATGCCCACCCCCAGGGCTGGTGGGGCACGGTAGGGTCTGGCTGGAGGACAGATGGCCTCTGCCTACTTGCACCTACCAACCCGACCCCATCGCCCATGCTCAACTGCACCTTGAAATTCTCATCGATCAGGAAGTCACAGCCGATGAGGTCGAAGTAGCCCAGCTTGCACTCCAGCTTGGATTTGACAGCCAGGAAGCAGTGAGCCATGATCTGCTGCATCCGCTTCTGCGGATAGGGGACTGTCGGTCAGGGCCTGCCACCCACCTGTCAGCTCCCAGCCTCCCCGGTCAAGCCCCATCACTCATCTGCAGTCCTCACCTGCAAACCCACTTGACTCTCACCTACATGCCCACCTGTACCCTCACTGGCACACCTACCTATACCTACACCTGCACAACTACACCCGTATCTCACCTGCACACCCACATATGCACCCCTCACCTGCACACCTATCTGCACCCTCAGCTGTACAACTGCACTCCACACTTTGACACTCAGACTCTCAGAATCATATGTTCACTGCCAGAAACTCATTCACACCAGTTTTATTCATTCAACAAAACCATGACCTTTTACTGGGAATAGAAGAGGAACAAAGTATACAAGGAATCCATGCCCCTGAGCAGCCCCCTCCTAAGGGGAGACAGACGTATGTGACACGGAAATCATTCTATAGGTTGTCCAGCCTGATAGGAGGTGATGCACACTAAGGGAGAAATGAAGCAGGGTATGGGCATCGGGACTTCTGGGGGGTGCGATGTGAAATGGGGTGTGGTCTGGCTGTGTCTCACTGAGGGGACGGTGAGCAAGGAACAGGAAGAAGAGCCATGGTAGGTGTGATATGTGATGGAAGAGCAACACATGTCAGATGGGTGCATGCTTGTGTTTGAGGAGCAGAGCAAGGCCACTGTGGCTAGAGTGGGGGGTAGGAGGTGAGGCCACAGAGATGGGGCCAGTCAGAGCAAGGGGACGTGGGAAGGAACTTTTTACTCTGAGCCTGTTGCTGATTGAGCATAGGAAGGACCTATCTGTCCATGTGGTCCCAGGGTCCTTCTGTCTTCTGTGCGGGGAAGGAACAGAAAGGCACTAGAGAGAGCCATTGCAATAGTCCAGGTGAGAGATGGTGGTGGCTTGGGCAGGTGGAGCGGTGGGGCAGATTCTGGATATATTTTGAGGCACAGTAAACTGGATTGGCTGATGAGTTGATTGTGAGTTTTATAAAAGAGAAGTGAGTGATGATCCTGGGATGTTTGGTCTGAGACGGGAAGGACGGAGTCCCCGCTGACTGAGAAGGGGAAAACACACATGGAGCCTGAGACATACATGAGTTTTTGGTGGGGTGCTGACAGACAGTGGGATAGAAGATGAGTTCAGGAGAGAGGTCAGGTTCAGGTGGTTAAACGTGGAACTTCAAGTATATAAGCAGAATTTAAAACTAGGAGATAGGCCGTCACCACCAACAGATGCAGATAAAGGAAGGAGCGTCCGGCTGAGCCTGAGCCTTCAGGCTGCAGAGGTCAGGGGATGAGGGGCTAGCACAGGGAGCCAAAAGGGAGTGGCCGGGGCCCTGGAAGCCACAGGAGAAAGTACATCAGAGTGGTTGTGCCCAAAGCAGCTGTCAGGTCCGGTAAGAGGAGAGCTGGGAACTGACCCCAGGGTTTAGCAAGGTGGAGTTACTGTGACCTTAACAAGAGTAGTTCAGTGGCACAGCAGCAGGTGGGATCCTCAATGGAGGTTCAAGAAAGACACAAATGATGGAATAAACCAAAGCAAACCAAACCCACTGCCACCGAGTTGATTCCGGCTCATAGCAGCCCTACAGGACAGAGGAGAACTGCCCCATAGAGTTTCCAAGGCTGTAAATCTTTACAGACGCAGATTGCCTCATCTTTCTCCTATGGAGCAGCTCGTGGGTTCAAACCACCAACCGTTTGGTTAACAGCCAAATGCCTTAACCACTGTGCCACCAGAGCTCAGAACAAACAACAGACTGTCCAGAAAACTTAAAAGAAAAAGCTGAGGAATGAGATAACGTTGTTGTTGTTGTTATGTGCCGTCGAGTCGGCCCCGACTCATAGCGACCCCTCCTTGGGTTTCCAAGGCAGTATCACTATGGAAGTAGATTGCCCAACCTTCCTTCTGAGGAGTGGCTGGTGGGTTTGAACCTCCAGCCTTCTGGTTAGCAGTCAAGTGCCTTAGGCACTATGCTACCAGAGCTCCTGATATATAGATTAACGTCATAAAAAAGATTCACACTTGGTGAAATCCTGGTTGTTGTTGTTATTGTTGTTAGGTGCTGTTGAGTTGTTTCCGACTCATAGCGACCCCATGCACAGCAGAATGAAACACTGCCCGATCTCACGCCAGCCCCACAATCCCTGCTATACTTGAGCCCATCATCGCAGCCACTGTGTCAATCCATCTCATTGAAGGCCTCCACCTCTTTCGTTGACCCTCCACCCTACCAAGCATGACATCCTTCTCCAAGGAATGGTCCCTTCTGACAACATGACCAAAATAGGCGAGACGATGTCTGGCCATTCTCGCTTCCAAGGAGCATTTCAGGTGCACTTCCTCCAGGACAGATCTGTTAGTTCTTTTAGCAGTCCATGGTACTTTCAGCATTCTCCGCCAGCACCACAACTCAAAAGCATCAACTCTTTTCTGGTCTTCCTTATTCATTGTCCAGCTCTCACATGCATATGAGGAAATTGGAAATATCATGGCTTGTGTCAGGTGCACCTTAGTCCTCAAGGAGACATCCTTGCTCCTCAGCACTTGAAACAGTTCTTTCGCAGTTGATTTTCCCAATGCTACACTTCGTCTAATGTCCTGACTGCTGCTTCCATTGGCATTGATTATAGAACCAGGCAATGTGAATTCTTTGACAACCTCAATCTTCTCTCCATTTATTGTGATGCTGCTCATTGGTCCAGTTGTGAGGATTTTTGTTTTCTTTATATTGAGACGTAATCCATACTGCAGACTGTATTCTTCAACCATCATCAGTAAGTGCCTCAAGTCATCCTCACTTTCAGCAAGCAAAGAAATCCTGGAGACTATGGGAAATCCCTGAGACTATGTCCCCGAGTCACCCTTCTCACCCTTCAGGCCTGGAATTGAAGTCACTCAGGTGGCTTGACTCTCAGCCAAACAACAGACAGGCCTACTAGCTGAACACCTACACCAGGGAGATGCACCCCTTAGAACAATCAAACATGGGCAATCAGAAGGGCAGCATTTGCACGGGGAGAAAGGCAGGGAGGCAGGAATACGTAGGCAAGACGGACACAGGGAAGAGTAACCACAGGGAGGAAGTGGGAGGTGAGCTGTTCCAAGGCAGGGAATGTAATCAGAGTCACAAAATAAAATGTGTTTTTGAACTATTGAATGCTAAACAAATCTGCTTTGTACAATTTCACCCAAATCACAATAAAAAGTTGAAGAAAAAAAAAAAAAAGGATCTATGCCACACCACGGATGAGCCTTTGAAAACATTACGTTAAGTGAAGAGCCACATATTGGGGGATCCACTTACGTGAAGAATCTAGACTAGGCAGATCCACAGAGATAGACAATAGATCAGTGGCTGCCAGGGGCTGCAGGGGCTGGGGAATAGAGAATGGGTGCTAACAGGTACAGGGTTTCTTTCTGGGGTGATGAAAATGTTCTGGGATTAGTGGTTATTGTTTCACAGCCTTGCGATTACACTGAAAACGAGTGAGCTGTACCCTTTAAAAAGGTGAATTTCATGTCATGTGAATTATATCTCTACTTTTAAAAAGGAGAGGAGTGGAATTTCAAACACCTCAAAGGGGCCGACTTCCATCACCAAGTTACACACTAGACACACTCTTTGGTACAGTCACACATACCCAGATGGCATCTCATATGCCTTGTACCCAGTCCCATACAGATGGTAACATTGCCATACACACACAGATATACATACAAACACGCATGTGGACAAAGACACACACAAAGAGAAACACACAGACACACACATACAAACACAAAGATGCACACACAGATACACACTATCTCATACACAAGTGTACACACAGACAGCCCCCCCCCCTTCGGTGATCTCACTCCCGTCCCCAGACAGACCGTGAAGGTGGTGAAGACCCAGTCTCTGGGGAGGCCCTTGGCTTTCCTGAACTTGTCGTTGATGTGGCGATTGAGGTGCTCCATGCTCCACACTGTGTCCTCCTTGAGCAGCACGTAGAGGGGGCTCTTCTTCTGCATGAACTGGGGGGGGGGGCAGTAAAGGCAGGACCTAGAGACCCCGGAAACTCTGCCTCATGGAGACAATGCTCCACCAAGAACCCCCCAGAACTTTATCCTGGCCCTGCCACCTGAGATTCCCAGAACCTTGCTCCCCCAGGTACCCTCCTGGGCTCTGCCCACTAAAACCCTTTGACTGATGCTTCTCCATCCATGGAGACTGTCACCGAGATCCTCAGCCAACCAGCTTCCCTTTGGGAATTCTCACCTGCAAGGATCTCTCTCCTGGATGTGCCCATCTTGACTCCTCCCTACTAAGACCCTCTTCAGAGATCTCCCCCCCATGAGCCCTCTCTACTGAGGGCCTCACAGGGACCCTGCACTACCCTTTGCTCCTTAAGACCCCCATCTCCTTGGCCTCTATGACCCAATGTTACCAAAACTGTGGCTAACCCTCCAGAGACCCCATGTTGTCTACGAAAGCCCACCCATGACCTATATTCAGCACACTCTTCGAGGTGGGAGGGGCAGGGCTCCGAGTCTCTTCACCAGGACATTGGGACCTGTTGCTTTCTTCTGCCTGGGCTGCAGGTAAGAGGTTGTGCCGACGCAGGCAAGGCCAGCCCAGACCATGCTCTCCAAGGCCCAGACCACCTCCAGACCTGGTGTTCCAGTGCAGGCTGGACCACCTCTGTTTTTCCAAGCAGTGAGGTCATCCTCTGGCCTTGTTCCAAGGCTGCCCTGCCCCATTTACAGTCAGCAGGCTCTCACCTGTGGAGGCCATCACCTATGAGGCCCTCACCTGGTTGGTCAAGTGGCCACCGAGGTCATTGGAGTGGGGGTCGTAGAGCCCGAGGGTGAGGCGGGCATAGCCGTGGCAGAAGAAAACCATGTAGGGCATGGTGCAGGCGATGAGCAGGTATGAACGCACATCAAACTTCTTCCCGTCCAGCAGCAGTGGGTTCTCGATGTACCTGGGGTGGCACACGGGGCTGCTGGGGCTAAGCTGCATGGCAGCCTGGCCTGTGGCCCTGCATCACAGGGTCCTTACCCGACCTGGGCCTTCCACAGCTCTGCAGTGCTGCCCCCCATCTGTGACCCTTGGGCTCCTTCCTCTGGCTGAGGGCCCTGATAAAGGGACATTTCTGAGCCTGCCCAGGCTTGGCTCCTAGATCTCAGCCCACTGCATGTGTCTGGGGTACCCCAGGGTGCAGCTCTAAATAGAAACCTGGAGGATTGGAGCAAACTGGGCCTAAGTGGGCAGGAGGGCAACCTGGAAGTAGAAGTGATCTGTCTGCAAAAGGAGGTAGAGGGGGCTGCTTGAGGAGGAGGGGGCTGCTTGGAGGAGGGAGGGCTGTCTGAAGGAGGTGGAGGGGAGGGCTGCCTGGAGGAAGAGAGATGCCTGGAGAAAGAGAAGGGGACTTCTGGGGGGGAGAAGGGAAGGCTGCTTAGAGGGGTGGCTTAAAAGGGGAAATGACCTTAGAGAGGGAGGGAAGGCAGATTCCAGGTGCAGGACCCTGTACGATCAGCCTTGGAGGTAGGAATGAGTTGCTGGGGAGGGGCTTGTGGGGAGTGGGCGGTAAAGAGCAGCTGTGACAGTGTGGATCCACACTGGCAGTGGGTGGGCCCAAGGGGACCCTTGCTGGGGCCAAACTGTGTTCCTCAGAGTGACGCTGAGGGTCTGGGTACATCCTGGAGTCAGAAGGAGCCACTGAGTGTTTCTTGAACAAGAGAGGAGTGATCAGCTGTGAGCTGTGGCCCTGAAGGCTGCAGGTGGCAGGGATTGAGGGTGGAGAGCTGGGGCAAGATAGAGGGGCAGGGCTGGACTTAGGGACAAACTGACCACACCTCCTGCATCACCAGCCCCTTGCTCTGGAGCCTCTGTCCAGAGGCCTTGAGGTGTTGGTTCCTTGGGAACATCATGTCTGCGTCCCTGACCCGATGTGACAACCCCAACCCTGCTGGATATACAGTCACCCTCCCCCCCATCCTCCCTCCCATCCCCCCCCCCCCCCTTGGATGAGGCTGAATGACTTCACAGCTCAAACAGCAGGCAGGGGGGCGGGGGCAGGTGCAGCTGCCAAGCCACCAGCGGCCTTCCACGGCCAAGCACTTACCTGTGACCCACTGACCCCTAGGAGCTCTTATACACTAGTGAGGCCCCCGTTCGGCCTCACAAACGACACCCTTCATGGCATGTCCCCCCTACCTCTGCACGATCCGTGCCTGAGGCGCCCTGAACGGCATTTTGCGGTAGGCGGGGTCAATCTCCATGCTCTGTGTCTTGGCCTGGAGAGAGTTGACCTCCTCCTGGTTCCTGAGCAGGAAGATGCCCTTGCCCTGGTTGGAGGCCGTCGGCTTGCAGATCCAGGTCTGGGTCTCTGCAGAGAGCACCCGCCCTGAGCCCCTGGCCAGCCCTGGACCCCGCCCTGCCAGAGCTCAGTGGGTTGCAGCTCTGACCACACCCCTGTCTGCACCACACCCACCCTGATCACACCCCCAGGTCAACCCAGTGCATGCCCTGGCCGCCCTCACCTCCTGCCCACAGCCCTGCCTTCCCTTGGACTAGCGGTGGGCCTGATTTTCCTCTTCCCTGCAAATGTCCCAGCCCTGGCCCAGCTTCAACTTTGTCAGAGGGGCTCCTCACAGACTCCCCACACCTGCCTGGTGTCCAGTGGCCTCACCATCAAACAGGGCAAAGAAGGCCTCTCGCTCATCCCTGATGTCCAGGCGGTAGGTCTCTGGGAAAAACTCTTCCATTCTCAGGCCCCTGGGGCAGGGAGATGAGAAGGACACATGACTGTCCCCCACCAGCCTGTCCGAGGGGTTGGGGGTGTGTGTCTCAGCTCTTGCAGCCTCTGGTCCCACTCTTCTCCCAGCCATTGCCTCTATAGGACACGCTCTGGTCCTCTGCTAGGGTGCCTTCTGGCTGCTTGGCCCTCCTCATGGCTGCTCTTCCAGCCTCCACCAGTTCAGTCATTTGTGAATGGTCATCTCAGAGCTGTGACCCAGGGACCAGCACAGCAGGTGGTCAGTCTAAGCCCAGGGGGTGCTGGGGCTCAGCTGCTGCCTTCCCTTGATCAGGGTTGCCTGTTTGTCCCTTTTCATCTAATACCAGGTCATGTCATCTAGACTGGAAACTGCCGCTCCTGGCCAGCCTAAGTGCTACCACAGAGGTAGCTCTGTGACTGGATGCATCCGGGGCTGGCCCACAGGATCTCCTCATGGGTTTGTGCTTTCCACATCTGTACCCCGGGGACACAGGACCTGGCTGGAGTGGGCAGCTCAGATGTGTTTGGGGTATGAATGTGTGAGGGTCTGGAGAGATGGAGGATGGCTGGAGGCATGGAGGTAAAATTACAGATGTGTGTGGATAGGTGGGTGGGGTTGTGGATGGGTGGATGGGCACGTGGATAGTTGGATTTTGGGTGGAAGTGGGTGGTTGAATGAATGGATTTTGGATGGATGGGTGGATCAGCAGCAACCCAGTGGGTGAGAGGATGCATAGAGAAGACTAGATCAGAACTGCTAGGTGGAAGTAGGCAGAGGGCAAGTGGACAGGTAGATAAGTGGATGAAAAATGCCACCATGTAATGAGCAGGTGGTGGATGAACACATGGCCACCTGCCTTGCTGGATGGGTGGGTAGGATGGCAGTGGTGGGTTGTTTGTCAGGTTGGTGAGTAGATGTATAAATAGGTGGGCAGGTAAATGGATGAGTGAGTAGAGAGGCAGGTAACTAGGTAGACAAATAACTTGGAAGGATCAGGTGTGAGTATGCAGTGGGTGGTGAAGGGGAGAATACTTGGATGGCAACGGTGGGTGGTGAGTCAGAGAATGACTGAAGGGATGACACCTGGGTGGCTCTGTGGTGGGCTATGGTATGAGTGTGCTGTGGCAGGGGGAGGTCAGGGAGGGAATGGAGACAGGATGGGCTGGTGGGTAAGAGGTGCAAGGGTGGATGCATGGGTAGATGGGTGTGATAAGGGAGGTGAGTGGACTTGGAATAACAAAGTGGGTGGTGGGTGTGCAGGAGGAGGGTGGTCAAGAGCAGTGCTGAACAGACGTGGCAGGAGGTGGGTGGATCAGCAGATGGGTTTGGGATGGGTTAGGGGATGGGTGGGCTGAGCATTCCCACATGAAGGTGGAGGGACGTGGCAGGGGGAATGGGTGGGTAGATGGAGGTTGGAGCTGGCCCAAAGCTAGGGAGCTGGGAAGGCTTACTTGGCTTGGGTGGACAGAGATGTCTTGTTGATCTTGTTCGCGACCCTTGAGTATGCCCTCAGGGCGCTGAGCAGCCCAATCTTGGTGGTGAGGAGCTTGTTGTTGGGGAGTTGGTAAAGGAGCTGTTCACCTGGCATGACAGAGCCCTGGGCGGCATGAGGTGACCACTGTGGGGCCATGGCTGCCCTGCCATCTACCTTGGCACCAAAGCCACCATGACCACCATGGCCTCCCTGACTACTCACTCCTGCTTCCTGGAAGGCCCCTGCAGGCTCCCAGCTGGGCCTTGAACAGGTTGCCCGCCCCCATGACTACCTTCCCGGAAGCTGCAGTAGGTGTCCCGGCACTTGACTTCACACCACTTGAGCTTGTAGTCCTCCCGCCGGCTGTCCTGTGTGCGCTGCCAGCCTTTGTTCCTACAGTAGGCACTAATTCTGCAGGGGAGGGGCAGCTGTGACCTGGGCCTGGGGGCCCTGGGGAAAGGGAAGGGGGAGGGCTGTGGGGACCCTGGGGGAGAGGCCATGGGGACCCTGGGGGCCCTGGGGCTGTCCTCAAGGAAGGGACAGTGGTGACTTGGGCCTGGGGCTCCCAGGGGAGAGGTGTGGGGACCCTAGGAAAGGGTGTGGGACTGCAGGCAGCACTCAGAGCCGAGGCTGGGCCCTGTGGCATGGGGCTGGGGGCAGTGAGAGCAGGCAGCCCTCACATGGAGGCCCCATTGGTGCCTCCGATGTAGAAGAAGGGGCCCTGCCCCGTGCTGGGCGGCTGCTTCTCCCCCTCCAGCAGCTGCTCTTCCCAGGGGGTGGCGAAGAGCCCAGTGGTGTCAGTGTCTTCCAGGAGCTCTGCAGGCAGTGGTGGTCAGAGGGCAAGTCCTGCCTTTCGCAGGCTCCCTCCTTCCCTCCACCACAGTTCTGAGCCCTCAGACCCCGCCCACCTGCATCATGCTCCAGTTGGCTCAGCTGATGAAGGAGCCCCTCCTCTTGGTCACTGCCCATGGATCTCTCATGGACCCAGCCTGGGGATGGGTAGGGTCAGTCTGGGGGTGGGGGTGTCCACATGGCCCTGCCGTCCAGATCCTGACCATTCCCAGCACCTCCTGGGCATCCCCTCAGCCCCAGTCTTCGTCCCAATCTCAGCCTAGGCTTGGATCTGGCCAGGAAGAACAGGGGGGCCCATCATACTTCCTAGGACAGAGGGGACAGTCAACCCCATCCAGGGGTGGGGGTGCAGGCTTGCTAGGGGTACTCTGCTTTGAAGACAGAGAAGTGCCCAGGCCGAACAGCACCCCGCTAGGGCTTCCCTCCCTCTGTCCTCAGCTGAGCCTGGGTCTCAGGCCAGGGGCTGTGCAGCATGGACCAGGGTATCCTCATTCTCCTTACCAGCAAGGTATGGTGGCTGGGGCATGGGAGGGGGACTAAGATGTAAGGCTGGGGCTGGGCCAGACCATTCCCAGGAGGGGCAGGGGTCACAATGTCCATGATGATGTCACATGTAACCCATCGGCCATTGGCCAGCAGAGAGAAAGGCTCTAGCCTACTCTGGGTCTGCATGACTGGGGGCCATGGAGCAGTAGGACCTGGGGCATGGCTGGGGGCAGGCAGGGGTAGTGTACCTCCTGTCCTTCTCAGCTGGCCCAGCCCCACCAGGTGGCTCCTATCAAGGATGGGGCAGTGCATGGCTGCTGGACCTGGCCAAGTGTGACTGAGGGGAGGGGACACCTGTCAGGGCTGCCTTTTGTTCACCTGGTGCTTGAGGGTGATCTCGCGGAACCACCCTCAGTTGCTTGCTTCTCTTGGTGGTGGTATGGACTCGGGTGGGGGCTCTGTGGCGGTGGATGAGCTGAGTGCGGCCTCGGGCTACAGGCGTGGGGGCACGGGGGTGGGAACCCCTCTGAGTAGATGCAGGTCCTGCCCTCCTGCGAGGCCTCAGGGATGCCTTGCGTCCTGGCCCATGGCTCTGGCCCGTGGTTAGGCCCACCCTGTCTGGGGAGGGGTTTGTCCCTAGGTCTGGGGCGGGGTCCTTGGCCTGTGGCCGGCTCTGGTCTCTGTGGGGCCCATGAGGCCTGGTGCCTTGAGGGGGCAGGGCTGTGTCTGCATCCTGTCGGCCCTGGACACGGCCTCCTTTGGCAGGACTGTTCGTCAGGTGTTGCTCTGCACCGCCTCGGCGCTGGCTGTAAGGAGGGAGGATGTCAAGCCTGTGGCCCAGGGTCAGCCAAGGGTGCAGTCTCGGCTACAGCAGGCAGGGCAGTGCTAAGCCCCCCTGGCCACCTGCCATCATCACAGCAGCTCCCCCTGGACGGCTCTCCCATCTTCACCTGAGGTCCCCCCCCCCAAGCACCCCTTCCTGTTGTTGCCAGCTTTGGAATGTTCTGGAGACTTTGTAGCCAATTACTTTGTGGCTCCTTCTGCCTTAACACCAGCAAACAAACCCGTTACTGGGGCTGCTGGGTGGGGCGTGGTCTGGTTGGGGACTCAGATCCCTTTTATTCTGTCCACTGTCCTGCAGAGGAGGGCCTGTTAGGCAGGAGGTGGGCAGGGAGTGGGCAGGGCCAAACAATGCACTTGTCCCTCCAGCCCTGGCACCCTGGACAGACACACAAAGTGGAGATGTCACCCAAGCAAAGACCCAAGACAAGAAACAAGGCTGGGACTGGTCAGAGCCCTAGAGGGGGAAAGCCGTCTCAAGAACTGACCCGAGATGTCGTGACCGGGTGGAAGCGTAGACTTTCTGAAGGTTTAGGAGTGAGTGGCTAGCAGGAAGGCAAGTGAGCTGGGAACCGTGGTTGGATGGAGCCTCAGTGGTTAAGGGTCTGCTCCTGAGAACAAAGAAGGATTGGAGTTAAATGTGGCCCTAGTGGGTATGCAGCCAGCCTCCAGGGAAGCACGTCCAGCCTCACAGCAAAGCCCCTGATGTGTGCACTTCCTGTGGTTGTTCCCGCTTCACTCTGAATATGCGGCTGCCTGGGCCCCACATACCGGGGAGGGAGGCCGCCCAGGTGAGACCAAGAGGTGGCACATGCCCACAGAGGCTCCCGGATGCACAGACACACACAGTCACACAGAGGAAGAGGAGGGAGTGCTGACATGACAAGCCACAACCACAACCAGCTTGTGCTTGAGAGGAGGGAGGAGAAGGGACGCTGTTAAAGCAATGGAATAAGAAAGAGTTATGGAGATTAAACTTCAAGTTTGGAAGCTCAAGTTGGAAACGAAGGCCCCATCCAGGAGGCTGGTGTTGGAAGGACGGGAGTTCCTGGGACCAGCAGACCAGACAGAGGCAGGAAATTGCCCATGGAGTGCGGGGGATGACAGCCCAGGGTCAAGCAGCACCTTCCGGCCTTCCATCTGGCCTTCCGGTGGGGGCAGCAGGGCTGTGAGCTGGGGAAGGCTGAAGGGTGCCTGCAGGGCTCACAGCCAGGCCACACCTGGCTAGCCAGGTGAGAAGGTGGGAAAAAGCTCCTAGAGGGTGACTTTTGCAGGACCAGTGATGCTGCCAGTTCAGGGGCTGGCCCCCACGTCAGGTGTGACCGGGGCGATTTGCCTGCTTTCTCGGTACCTCTGTCCCCTTGCCGGCATGTGGAGTGGGACAATGGTGGCAGCCTGCTAGCCCTGCTGGAAGATGAAATCTAGGCACTTAATGGCTTAGGACAGCACCTGGTGTGTACTGAGCACTCAGCGCTGGGGATCATGGGGAGATGATGAGGATGGTAAAGATGAGGAGGAAGAGAAGGAGGTGGCAGCATCACTGAGCTTGGGGACAACCACTGATAAGTATGTAGAAAAAAACAAGCAGATGCAGAAACGGTGATTATTCACCTCAGAGAAAACAAAAGTGGTCCCCTGTCCTCAGGGTCAGCTGTGTGCTTGGCTGTGAATATTATTTGCATGTTTATAACATAAACCTGGCCATGTGTGAGAGTGCAAACCCTCGCTGGGCAGGGTCCAAAGTCAAGAGAGAACTCTGACCGTGGAAATTCAAGAAATAGCAACATAAAGGTACTAATTAGAAATAAGATGGGAAAGAGCAGATGAAACAGCTGGTAGAGTCAGTAAGCCTTATGGTTCTATTTGATCTTTCTAACCAGCCACTCCTCGGAAGGAGGAAGGGGCAATCTACTTCCGTAGTGATATTGCCTCGGAAACCCAAGGAGGGGTTGCTATGAGTCGGGTCTGACTCGACGCCACATAACAACAACAACTTGGTATAAGGAGTTCTGGTAGCGTAGTGGTTAAAGCAGTGGGGTACTAACCAAAAGCTTGGCAGTTCAAACCCACTAGCCACTCCACGGGAGAACGATCAGGCAGTCTGCTGCTGTAAAGATTTACAGCCTTCAAAACCTTATGGGGGCAGTTGTACTTTGTCCAAAAGGGTCGCTGTGAGTTGGAATCGACTCAATGGCAGTGGATAACTTGGTGTAGGGGGCAGTGGTGGTTCAGTGGTAGAATTCTCGCCTTCCGTGCAGGAGACCTGGGTTGGATACCTGGCCAAGGCCCCTCACCTGCATCACTACCCATCTGTCAGTGGGAGCTTTCGTATTGGCAGGATGCTGAACAAGTTTCAGTGGGAGCTTCCACAGTAAGACCAGGAAGAAAGGCCTGGTGATTGACTTCTGGAAATCAGCCAGTGGAAACCCTAGGATCTCAATGGTCTGATCTGCCACCTGTCACAGGGCTGGCACAGGACTGGCTGCATTTCATTCCATGGAAGGCCAAGTGCACGGCAGCTAACAACAGCCACTGGGTATGTTTATAACTTTGACAGAAAAGTGAATTAACAAGCAATGAGACCTTATTTCTTGCCATTCAAGTGAACAAAGATTAAAAGAAAGACCCTGGGGTGTGCACAGAGGTGGGATGTGATGTCAGTATACTGCTGGCCGAGCAGGGAGAGGCAGGAATGCACCCCCAATGTGTTAGAGAGCCCCGCTGGACACACTCAATCCAGCCACTGCACTGTCAGGAATCTCTCTGAAGGGCCTCATTCTAAATACAGAACAGTGCTTTCTTTACACTCAAGAATGTTGGCTGAAGCTTTTTTTTTTCCTTTTTTTTAACAGTGGGAGCTGTGGGGACTGAGCCCAGCCATGGGGACTGAGGGGCGAGCCCATGATAAGATCTTATTAATGGCTACAGAAGACCAGGTAAATGCTTCTGAGAGCGTGAGGTGGAGGGTGAGGCTGCACGGTCTGGTCAGAAAGCTCACACCTGGATAATAGATTTTAAAACAAAGGCTGTACCTGGTCACGTAAAACACCCGGCAGGAGATGGCGCCCGGGCAAGAGGAGCTGAGGATGTCTGTGAACCTGGAGAGAGCGTCCGGGAGGGTGAAAACAAACATCAGCGAGCTGCACACATTTCCCAAGAGACACTCGCGTGAGTCAGGCAGTGGCGTGCTAACAAGGTGCTGACATTGTCCAGGGGGGCTGGTGCCTCCTGGGTGGGACAGGCAGTGCTGGGCTCTCTGAAGATTCCGGGGAGTCACCCTTCCAGGGTTGGCTCTGGGGAGCCAGGCTTGGTCCTGCCATGGGATCCTGTTCTCTCGAGAGTTCGGATGGCAGGCCCTCACCAGGCTCTTGAGTTGCCTGCAAGGGACTCACCCCCACCCCCGAGGCCACCCCCTGGGTGGGGGTGGGTTGCCCCCACACACTGCAGCGAGGGAGTCTGACCACAGTGGGGACCTGTGTGTGCTCTCCTTGAAGAGCCTCGACTCCTCTGGGCAGCCCTCCCCAGGTGCGCCACCCCCACTCCCGTCGTCCTCTGCTTCTGGCCTCAGTCCCTCAAGAGAGAGCCTACAAGGTCCCTGGTGGCCAGGAGAAGGACAGGAGAGCAAGGCCAAGTCCTCACTCCTGAGGAGGACCCCAGCCACTGAGCCCGCCACCCTCTTACCTGCCCAACAAGGTGGTGCAGACCCTCTGCATGGAAGCAACAGTGGTGACCCAGCAACCTGTCTCCAGGCAACGGTCACCAGGCAGCAGAAGCGCCCACGGGGCTCTTGC